AATGTGAGAGCCTCTGGGAAGAGAATTGGAGGTTGAGTATGGTTGAGTTGTTGCAAGGTAAAGTTAACTCCTATCCAAGATTCCTAAATATGGAGGTTCGATTTCACCACAGGTTTGTTCATCCACGATGACGTGAAGTGAGCCCACTTCGATAATCTCTTAGAGCCTGTTTCCCCCTGGTTGCACGAATTCCCAACCTTGGAAATGGTTGTGGTAACAACCCGAAAGGTTTTCTCAAACGACTTTCGGTCATCCCTGAGTTCTTTTTCCTTGTTTCAGCATGTTTCAGCTAGAAACAAGCATCTCTTTTGACTTTTTTTGACTCTTTTGACAGTTGTTTTGACATCAACCTCCACTCGCGCGACCGGTGCTCCGTCACCACCCGACGCCCCCTTGTAGAGGGGGTGATCGATCCGACGGTGCAATGAAAAAAGCCAGGAACAATCGGGGGCTGCAGGTGTGGATCATCTATTCATGTGGTAGCCATATTAGGGTTTCTTAAGTCATGGGGGATGCCCGACACCACGGGTTTTACGAACATAATCTAATGACTTGGATGATTTGGGGATATTTGGGGTACCTACCAAGTTAGGACCCCCCCTATACAAACCCAAGAAGCAGGGCCGGCCCCATTTTGGTACATTTTTGTGTAAGATTTACTGATGGCCAAATAAGTCATAATTTTGGAGATCTATAGTTCTAATATTTTACTCCACATGGTCCACACGTATGGAATCGCCTTTTTGGATGGTTCGTTTTTTTGGGAACCATCCTTAAGATGGTCAGAAAATCCATGGGATGTTTCGGCATTGATTTCGAGATAACAACCCCAACAAGATGCCAAAGAGCAAAATCCTACGAAAATCATCTAAAATCCTGGTGATGGCGCTTTTCTGAATCGATTTCATCATCTCGGAGATTACTTTTGGACAGATTCGCCATTTGGAAATGAAGCGATCCAAGGTGCACACCCTTGGTGAACTGTGGGGTTTATAGGGGATGTAACGAACTAGTTCATAGGGGCTATAGAGCAAGAAGCATCACTAGGGGGGCCCCAGCTAACATGGATGATTGGTCGTTTTCACCTTTGCACTTTTTTTTGGTTTCCGTGTTCTGAGAACTTGGCAAATGCTTGAAACTGTCAATGTGCCATCACCAATTCCGACAAATAGAAAAAAAAACCAGTGAAAGCATGGTTAAGAGTTCGAGAACATACCCCGTATACCCGCAAAATCCCATAAATGAGGACGGGCATACGACCATTATACAGTGGAGAAGAAATCCTGCACCAGTTGATAAGCGGTTTACCCCATTATTTTGTTTGGGTTTCAACCATCGGTGCAGGATTTCATCCACAGTATCATAGGAGTCAACGAGGGCCCGGAATCCCATGGATGGTGGGATAACCCCCATGAAAATCCCATGCAACGACGGCAGCCTCTGAGGCCTGAGTGACTATGAGGCGAGAAAAGATGGTGGGATTTCCATATTTTTTTTTCCGTATTTTCATTCACTGGAGGCTAATTTCTTTCCAACATGTGGCCATTTCGAAACCGGAAATCATGCAGATTTTAAACATGGATTTTTTTTACCATCTTTGACGATGGTAAACACAAAAAATCCATTTTTGGTGCTGTCTTTGGTGCTGATCATATAGCTGTGGATGCTATCGGCGAATTGTAGGAACTGAGGCCCTCATATCTATCCCTTCAAAATTCTGTGCTTCCGAACGAGAATTTCCCGCATCGTTTCGGTTGACTTCGTTGGATGTTGGCGGGGGGAGTTGGACCAGATCTCAGGATGATTCAGATGTGAGTGGTATGAAGATGGTGGGAGACTCAGGCGAAATCATTTCATCACTTCCGCTCCCAGTTCATCCCATCCCTTTAATGATCAGCCCCATTTTTTTTTGGGGGGCCCAAAATGAACAATTGCATCCACGACCAAATTCCAGTGGTGGCTCTGGGATGATTACTGCTGGATGGTGCTTGACAGATCTTGACAGAAAGACTCCAGACCTGAAATTGTGCTAGAATGAACTCAAACATGCAGCTTGACTCAACCATTCTGAAGGGGCTCTATATTCGGAACTGACCATCAACTTGGGGCTCGAAAAAGAGGAACTTGTCGAACGAATTTCGGATGTTTTTTGGTGTCGGACCTTAAGGCACCCTATGAGCAAAACTCTCCGTGCGAGTGCCCAGATTTGGGTGATTTTTGGGGCGCACATCACCGCGGAATTCTGCGCAGGTTCCCTGATTCCCAAGAAAAAAGGAACAAGGCTCAAAAGGTGCTTTAGAACTTTGACATCACCAGTTCTTGCTGAATTTTTCGCTGATTTGTTGACACCTGATTTGTCGATTTGGTAGGCCTGGTGTGCCACCCTCACCACCCAGGCCGTCCGGTTGAAGCCTGTTGATTCAATCCCATCCCCCTATAGGCCCCGTTTACGATAACTTGGTTAACGTTTGGGTTGGGGATATCATCGTAATGGATATCAACAGGGCTTATAAAATCCTAAGCAACAAACACGACTATGAGATACCATGGGGCCCAGGCAGCCCCCCATTCCCACCGGGCCAGGCAGCAAGGAGGTTATCCTGGGCAGGGATATACTCCTGGCTATCACGGTCAAGCGCCCACCATGAACTTTCAGGCCCATCATGTCCAGAACTTGGGGAGTGATGGAAAACTTGGGGAACCTTTGGTGGAATAAATGATGGTGGAAATTATGTCCAACCTCTGGTGGAAATTATGTCCAATCATATCCAATCAGAACTTGGGCAGATCATGTTAGTGAACAGAATGGGATGGAGCATCATTGTTTTAAGTTTGGTGGACTCCCCAACATTGGGGGATGCAGAGGGCACAATGGCATACTACCAACATGAACTAGCAAGTTTGGTGTGCGTAGGTACCCCCTGAAAACTAGCATGTAGAATCCCAAACATCAAGTTTGGAATATGTTTCTCTTGGAAATGCTGAATTGTTTGTTCCTAAGGTCAGTTTTTTTTTTTTTGCAATCTTTTTCTAGTGATAATCTATGGACACCATGGATGAACAACATAAAGCTGGGGCATCTCCTGCACGGTTTCCAGTTTTGTTTCCAAATTGGCAGTCGCCGCCCTTACTGAACCAGGCCTGGGACGTTGAAAGCGTCTGGGAATTGGGACCATCAATGAGTTGTAGTGCGCTGCGACTGAATCTGAAGCGTTCAAGAGCTCCATTTTCGCTGTATGGGTTCCAGTCTTCCTTGGAAATATATAATATTATATATATATATACATATATATTGTACTGTATATAGATGCAAGAATTCCTTTCGTGGCTGGTCAATTTTGTCCAACTTTGATGTTTTCCAGTCATACTCCCATTTTTTCCGCATTTTTTGAGCTGGTGAACATCTGCAGGTGGAAAGGGTAAACCTGGGTTAGGTAGGTTCACAGGTTAACCTTTTGGCAGACGTTTCTGGGATCAGATCTAATGCCTATATATATACATACATATGTGTATATATATACATACATATGTGTATATATATATATATGTATATATATATATACATATGACATATGTATGTATATATATATACATATGTATATATATATACATATGTACGTATGTATATACATATATACACAGAACATTGACAATTGGTTCTTTGTTCTTTCTTTTGCAGGGTATCTAAGATTCGCTATCTTCAAGCTTTATCAGGAAGCACTTTCTTGGGCCTAGCATCCAACCCTGGACCAGGACCCTGCCAAATTTCTCAGGGTCGAGCTACTGGTGCCCGGGGGATGGTAGGTGTTTTTTCCAATATTGTTGGTTATATGTGCATATCTCCATAAGTCCTATCTTGTTGACAACCGGAAACTTCATCCAAGAGGCTTTATGATAAACGACATATCCAAAGTAATTATATATTTGAGTCACATTTTTGGTATTGTATATTATTGTATCCCCTTATTGTATCCCCTTATTACATCCCCAGCAAAATGTTAGTAAAGCAATAGCAAACCATCCCCTCATTTTATCATCAAAAAATGATGGTTGGGATTTCAACCATCAATCCAAAAAAGTCTGCTATATTCCTATGAAGTTCATGATGGTCTCTATCCCATTCATTCACTATAAAAAAATATAGATCCCGTTACAAGCCCAAATTAACTATTGTTTATTGTTACCATTAATTCCCATTCTATGTCCCATTACTATTCCAGCTTGTCCCCGCTGCAGGGCGCTCCTTATGGCTCGCAAGGAGCACCTGGAGCCCCTTTTGGGCACCAGCCCTACCCAGGTCACCATTCTGAAAAACGGATGCGAAACAACCCTGATCCTCATGCTGAGTGGTTGTAGGTTGCCTCCTTTTCCTTGGTTTTTTGTTTGTTTGTGTAAAAACATGTGAAAACTGTGTTTCCATGGTGTTGATGATGTTAAACAATGTTAAACATGTGTTTTTTGTTGTGTGTTTTGAGGATGGTTTTGTTGAGTCCTTACCTGGTTCATTTTAGTTCCTGGAGGTAAATGGTTTCTTTTCTCTCCCTTCTCAGGTCTTATTGTTCCTTCCATATTTTTCTCTATCCTTAAGTATCCTCTTTGCCGTCACGTGCTTCTCTTCCTATCTATATCATATACACATATCTATACTGTTTTTGGTTTTCGAGTTTTGTGGGCTGTAGCTATGATTTGATCGTGCTATTTGGGGCCCAACATATTCTTTTCCAAGAGTTGCACCGAATGCAACATCTTCGAGTTTTTTTGTCGGGATGCTCAGATGCACACCAGCCAGTGATGCATTGACTCTTCAGTCTGGAAGAATTGAGTTTGCCATTCGCATCACATGCTTTGTTTCCAATCACAGAGACGTGTTTGTTTCGCACCGTCGGTCTTGACAATCGGCTGATTTTGTTTTCGGCATTTTCATCATCCCTTGGATCTGATGGATTTCTGCAACACGACTTCAAGCAGCAGTTCAAGCCTCTGTCAGCCGATGCCGTCCGATGCCACGACTTGACGCAGTTTCAATGGCTCCCAAGAAGTCCGAGAAAGGCTACACCGGCCCGGAGGATGAACAGCACGGGAAAGACACCAAAAAAGAAGCGAGCAGAATATCCAGAGGCCAGGTGGAGGAGACAAGTGCCGAGATGTCAGTGCGGTTCCTGATCAATGAAAGATTCAATCGGAAGATTCCATATCACCCGGAGATGAAGGCATCCACGTTGTTTTCCTTTTTGGAACGCTATTTGAAGTCAGAAGGTGTCTATGCCTGGCGTAATAAGCCTGGGATCGGTTTAGAATGTGAAGGGCCTTGGCTGATTTTTGGAGGTCGCGCTCTTCTTCCAGACGCTCGGACTTGCTGAGTGGGAAATCCACCACGACTGGGGAATCGACAAAGTGATGCTTCCAAGATAGCCAAGTTGCTTTATAGCTCTAACAACTAGGACTTGTGGTAGAAATATCTATAGTTAATGGGATCAAAAACCCAACTTATAACTGGGGGGGGCACCAGGAATATGTTTATACTTCTTTATCGTCCTCCAAAAAGCAAATCCAAGATGATATCTCACCCATTTGCAGAAAACCCCAAATTTCGGATTGTTGATTATACATCCATAACCCTCCGGGAATCAAACGTGACAATGGAAAACCACCCATATTATAATCATTTACAAACATTTTTTTCATCCCCATGAAACCATATGAAAACGAGCTTTTTCACTTGCCACCTTTGATTCCCGGATGGTATCTATATATTTCACATGATTTCACTATCTAAACCATTCTCCCCAAACAACAACCGCCACTTCCTTCGGCAGGACGGTGAAGAGTTCAATTTCTTCGGCAGGACTGGTCAGAGGCCCACCGGGGAGCCCATCAATGGCTACCTGGCCGGTGACCGGACGGTGTCGAGTCTCGGGTTGAGGCCTGACTCGGAGATTGCCATTGCGCCCAAAGATGTGATGGATGTCTTCTTTCCCTATGAAGATGACGATGAAGGACCGTTTTTTTTTTAAAATTTATTTATTTTATTATATATTTTTTAAAAGTTTTTTTTTTTGTGATTTCCGGAATAAGAACAATATTAATGATCACAATAGCAATAATCACCACTACCTAGATCTATATAGTGATAATATATAATAATAGACAATCATAATGATTACAATAATCATGATATTATACAACAAATCAGGCAGTCAGGGTTTCCCTTTGGGTAGTCCAAGTCTCTCATTAACCCTCTGACTCAAGTCATTAACCCTATGTGACTTGCGACATCACCGAGCTGATGACTTCAAGCAATTCAGGACAGATTGCCGGAGATCGTGCACAATCTGTTGAAGACCAGAGCAAGAAGTGACAGAAGTGAGATGAATTATGAATTGGTGTTTTTTTGTTGAGTTTCACTCCATCCGATGCTGAAATTGAAAAGGCGTTGGATTTTTGAAAGACTGTAAATCCGCTCGGACAAATCAACGTGTGAAAAGTTGGCTGCCGCAAGAGTTTTGGGATCAGATTGCCTTGGTGTTGGATAAGTTGATCTATCTTGATTCCTCTGTTGGGAAACCTTGGATGTGTAGTTTGGTACTTGAAGTTTTTCCTCTAGATAAGGATACATAGAAACCAGCTACTTTGTTTTTACAGCTTAACTAAGATTGGCCAAGTTTCATCGTGGTTTCATCGCAGCTTCCGAGGTGTTTTTTGTGATCAAAAATCATCCAGGTTGGTCTGACCAGGGTGGCCGTGACTTCAGAAATCTTCAGGTCACATGGACGGAACAGGACCTGAACCGGACCTTCCGTCCATAAAGCTACCATTTGGCGATTTGGCATTGTTTAAATATGTTTGAATATCTTCAAATGTTTATATGCCACCCATTGATTTATTGATGACTTGGGGATGGGTAAAAATGGCATTGGCGCCGTTCAGGATGGTAGGTTGCACTGGGAACTGCGACGAAATGGCAAGATTTTTGGTTAATATGTATTGTTCATCACATTCATATAAAATGGAAGCAGTGAACCTTAATGTAGGAGGGAAACAGAGAGAACCCAGACGCGAATTCAAGTGATAAACGTTTTGCTGTTTACGTCAAAACTTCAAGAACATAGAACAGTGGCCACCCAAGATCTTTTTGGGGAGGAGCTGCTTGGCAAGATGTCACAACGAGACCTTTCTGACCTTTCTGTTAGACACTTGCCTCCCTTCGCAGACTTTGAAGAGAACCCCCTAAGAATGGGATGTAGTGGAAGATACAGCATCTTAGATGCTACGTTTGGAAAAAAAAACATGTGGTAGGTAGCAGGTGGCAGGAACAGTATGTTCGAGAGAACTTATGTGGCAGCTTTCAATTACCCAAGCACAAAAAACAAACCCCTTAAAAGCACACCGTCAGAAATGATGCCTCATAAAATGCTCCTATAGTTACTGTAATTGGGACAATCTACTCCGAAAAGCCTTAAAAGTTGGTGAAACTCATGGTTTCCGGTGACTTTCTCTTCAACCACTACATTGAGATATTTTAACCAATGCCATGGGTGCCATATGGTGCCATCCTGGCCAGGTCATAACCAGCGGCTGATGTGAAGCGGTCATAACCTGTCAGGAAAGGATTCATGGCTTACAAAAAAGAGGACTCCATTGAGGACCAAAAAACTTCACAAAATCAGAACTTTTCATATTTGTTTAAGGGAATTTTTATCAACCCCATGAAAAATAACTGAATCTTAGAATAACAGGGGACAGTCAAAGCTATGGCAGCTATGGGCCTTGGCGTTTTGTGGTGTGAATACTTTGGGGCCGCAGAGTCAAGCAGTCTCGTCCTGTGTCCACAGACGCAGAGTTGGGATGAAATTCAAGTCATGTGGGTTTGTCCTATGGACTAGGTTCAGTCGGAAATGAGGTTTCAGACCATGTGGTGGACATTTTTTGTTGAAGATGTCGGAGAAATCCACGTACCATAAGCAGATCTGACACAGGTCACATCTGGCTATCACCAATGCGTAGATAGGAAAGGGGAGGCGAGTCGCGAGATGGCTGCTGCGCACTGTTGCTGCTCTTCGTATCTCGAGAACATGAGCTCATCTCTACCTAGAAGGATCAAAAATCATCAACATTGACGGACAATTCTTAGGATGGCTCAACCAGCAACCAGAACATGCTTGGCTACAATACCCATGTGCGTATATATATAATTACATACAGTGAGAGTGTTTTTACGGACCACACCCTAAACTGCAGGGGTATACAACCATATACATATCCTTTCTGGTGAAATCCATACTTTCCCAAGTTTTATTGGTTCAGAGCTCGGTTTTTCAGGATTTTTCAGCTTCAGTCGCTGCCATCCGGTTAAAGCGCAAAACCGCCGAAACGTGCCGCCAACGTCAGAGGTCCAAAGTCTGTTTCGGTGGCCTTGAGGGTTGGATTGGTGCTGTAGGTGAAAAGCATTCAATACCAAACAGTATACTCTCTGGTAATGACTAACATAGCTATTGAAAATGACCATTTATAGTGGATTTTCCCATTAGTCATGGTGATATAGCTATGTTAAATTACCAAACAGTATAATGGGTTTTTTTCCGCATCCCTGGAGTATCGATTTTGAGGTTTCCATCAAGTCATGGGGGAAACCCGTTTTTTACATCCAATCAAGTCATGGGATTTTCCATTGCAAATGATGGGAAACCCCCCATGACTTAGGTTGGGACATGTTGGGACCACTAGGGAGGTGTGATATCATCGATCGTTTCTTCATTTTCTTGGGAGGTTCATCAGCTTCAACCGGGGATCCCCAAGCTGAGGACGTCAATCTTGAACAAAACACACGGGTTCTTGTAGCATAGTAGCGATGGACCACCTGTTTCACTTGGGACTCCAAGTTGACAAGTCATCATCACTGGTTGGTGGTTTGGCACATTTTTTATTTTTCCAACTTTTTCCATATATTCGGAATGTCATCATCCCAACTGACGAAGTCATATTTTTCAGAGGGTACCACCAACCAGATAATGTAGAAACAGGTTGATGACACTTTCCCAGCCCATTCCTACTTGCTGTGGTTCCCCATTGAGTGTAGCTGCGCTAACTTGGCCTGTCCATCCCAAGTTACTAACTGTCGGTTGTTGGCCATGAAGTTGTGTGACCGCAGTCCCGTTCGCAGACCAACTTCACGGGATTTATGATGTTTATGTAGATTTATAATGATCTATAACCATTGATAGCAGAAAATTTGAGTCAAATTTGCACTTCCAACTTGTCCAACTTTTCGGGTGACCATGGCCTCGAGCGGGCACAACATCTGCACGCGGTGCCATGGCTGACGCAACGATGGGACGTCACAATGGTGGCAGGTCATGGATGGAGGACTCGGTTCCTTGGCACTGATGGGAGCAGTGTTCAAAACCCCTCTGTTATTCGATACTGGTTGGTTAAGAACGGGATTCCCCTATTGAATTACTATAATCCATTATAATCCCCAATATATTGGGTACTGGTATGGAATCGCTAGTGTGCCATGCAGGAGTTTGATTTCTTACAATGCATGTCACATAGAGATACCAAGGGCACACGATGATTCAAACATGATAAACTACCTGAGCCAATTTTTGTTGGAACACGGTGTGCCAGTAGGATTTGCATCCTGTGGGGTGACTTTTGGATTTTGTGGGGTGACTTTTTGGTGGCGGTGTGCCATGCGGTGGGGCGACCTATGGTGTTGTGGGGTACGAAAGGGTGGACACTCGTAGTATAATCCCCTATAATCATCAACCAACAGGGGTTTTGAACACTGCTCAAGTGGCTTAAGCTTTTGGTGTGGCAGGTTGAGTGGTCAATTTTCATGGAAAGGGATTGCACTACCATACGCTTCCTGTTTTTTGTGTTTGGCATCATCAGCTATGGAAAAATTGAGGCCCACCACGGGCGCGGTGGCAAGTGTCAACGGAGGCACCGTTGGCACCCACTTCATCGACCTGCAACACAGAGCGAGTGTCTTGCCGATGAACTCACTGAAAACAGACAATTTTGAGCAGCAAAAATAGGACGAAATAAGGAACGCGTCACTGGAACGAGTGAGATGTATTGTTCAAGTGTCTCAAACATTGGATATTTGGAACCACATTAGAATAGTAAATCTTGCGTGCCGGTTGGGACCACCATGTTTGCACAGTCCAGGCAGGATTCAACACTGGAAAAGCATTGTTTGAAGTGAAAGATCGTCTACAAAGTGGGGCCCCCTAGATAGCTAAGTTGGTTTATAACTCCAATAACTATGGTCTATGGTACCTATAACTTATAACTATAGTATTCATGGGGTTTATAAACCATCTTATAACTAGGGGGCCCCACATTGTAGAATCCATGAAAATCACCCAGGTGTGGATATACGGATTCTCCAATTTTTCGGGGTTCGGGCCACCAGGACGTGGCAGCGATTTCCAAGGAAGAACTCATCTGCTTCAATTCCGCCCTGGTCTCCCAGTGGCTCCAAGCCCTGGTGCTGTGGAGCAACCACCGTAGGCTACAGCCGAATGCCGGGGGGCCCGGGTCAGACCATGGAGACCATGGGCGGGTTTTGAAGCAACAGAGACGCGCAAATCATCCCTGTTTTCTCCCAGAATTTCACGATTGAAAAATATACAGGAAACAGTTTCAGGAAACACCTAAACATGGTAAACAACCATGGTTTCTGGTTCAGATCTTCCTTTAAACCAATCCTCTGAAGCAAAGGTAATCAGCTATACCTCGGTACTGAGAGCCTTACGTCGACGTTGGGTTCAGTCCCTACATTGGTCCCTTGGCGCGCTGCGAGGTGCTCGTGGCCATATATCAGCAACATGCTCCACAATTGGGGGATGGTCATACCGCCAATAATAGGGAGTTATAATGGCCATCCCATTCATGATGGTGTAATAGCCAGCCATAATTGTAGAAGTAGGAAAACAATAACTCTGCAAGTGTAGTGGCTCTTTTAGAGCTCTCAACAAGTATCTCCGGTCGGGCTGATTCATCAGAGCTACACACGACAGTGCAGTACCGTGGTAAAACGAAGAATCGCGCCCAACTTTACAGACACTTTAGAAGGATTCATCCAAACTGATTTTTGTGAACTTTGCCATGATTCAAGCCTATGATCCTGTTGGGTAGAAACAAACCAGCAGTACAACAAAAACACTGCCTTAAAACAACTAACTAGAATATGTCTTAGAATAACTTATAGATGTCTTTCAAAATTTTCAAAACTCAATGTCTTCAACTGACACCCAAGATATATTCCCCCTTCACCCTGAGTTCTACCGTTCAAACTGTTCCAGGTTGCATGGGATGATGCTGGAGGGAGTCAGAGCCAATGGGATCACCATGAACACAGCTCTCAACTCCTTGCAACGGAGAGGTGGCTTCCTAATCAGTCCCGTAGCCGTGGCTTTCTGTGTTTGTTATGGGACCTTATGGGAGAATTTTACGAGGAAAAACCCATGGAAAACCCAGTTAAATATCGTTAAATCCATTAGAAATTCAAATTTGATGGAGGAAAAGCTGGGAAAATCGTAAGACCACACATCCACATTTATGTGATGGTTGAGAAAACTCGAGTTTCCCCATGGGAAACTGCCAATTCTGGAGGGGCCCTCCAGAGATGTCCCAAGGGGAACTACCGGCCTGAGGAACGGACAAGCCATGGCAAACCATCCGGATTCATCCAGAGATGATGGTTAGTTGATCAGCTGAACATCTAGAATCATTTTTGTTGGGTTTCAGATCCGTTTGGCTGAATCATCTTCTGATCCCATTTCAGTTTCCAGTGGCTCAATGATGCTCAATGTGCTGAGCCGGATTTCTTCTTCATCTCTGTGTGGTCGGCTCCCAATTTTTCGGACTGAGAGGTCCGTGGCGGAGAGCCCTGGGCCTCTTCGTGCCGCAATTGGTGGATGCGATCACCTGCAACTCCGCCATTTCAGCCTGTGAGGAGGGCAAGTGTTGGCTGGGGGATACCACTTATTTTTTTCATAAAATTGGATGATGGGAAAATTTACAGGAAAGCCCTATATTTGATGGTAAAACCATGGTTTCCTGTAGATTTTCCCTTAAACCAATCCAGTGATTGCTGGTTTATCATCATTTTCCCTACTAAAATATGGACGAACTTGGGGGTATACGATGGAATACACCACCAAAAACACCATTTTCAGACAGACACGCAAAAATGCTCCCAGGTTTTTTTGCTGGAAACTGCTGGTAAAACACCAAGATTGGGGGTCACGAGCTGCTGGTTTTAGTAAGAAAACACGGGGGATGCTAAGGGAAAACATGTTGAACAACAACATTGGGGATGTGAACCGCTTCCATCTCAATTTCCCCGGAGACTGATCAGTTTCGAAGTGGATTGATCATCTGTGAGTCCGGAATATCTGGATTGGGGGCGGTGCCATGCAGAACCCTGGATTGCGTTTCTGCACAAAGTGTCATGCTGTGTCCACTTTTTCTCCAGATGTTTCCCCGTCTTTTGAAGTCTGTCCATGTCATCATCTTTTGCAAAGCCAGAGGAGTCTTCCAAGTGGCCTAGCGCTTTACAGCTGTTGAACCTCTTCGACGAGGAGTTTTCGGGGGGGGCAAGGGGGGCCTAGGGAGCTGATTATGTCAAGGGGTTTATATATTAGGGGCTTTCATGTTCTCTTTTCTTTCGGGCATTTTTGGAAAAAGGTAGCTTCTGACATCTTCTGACCTCAACTATGTCAATGAAAGTATACACACAATTTTCTCTGAAATTTAGATTGGAACCACAGTTGCATAATGGCACCTATTTAGGACTTAGCTTTGACCAAGAACTGATCTAGTTATGGCAGTTATGTTATGGTCATTTACATAATTTGCATATATATATATTATATACATAAATGCATATGTGTGTATATATATAATATAAATGAAATATGTATATGTATATATTGCATAGGGAATCTTATGGAATTACCAATTGTTTTTTGTTCAAAGGTTTTGCCCTAAATTTTCAGGTCCCCATTGTTCTCCAAGATATCCCAGTTGGCAAGCAGTCTATAAGTGTCTATACTCCATATACAACCGGGCATATATCACATATAGCTGGAGTGATAAAATCTCAACGGCACCACCGCCTTCAATCACCATTAAACCACCATGAAATCCCTTCAAATCCAATCCCATAACATCCCAATCAATATTAAATTTCAATCACATTCTTTAAAAATCAGAGGAGCACCTAGACCGCGACATCCTGGGCTTCAGTGCCTGTCTCGCTGCCAGAGTTGCGAAGCCCTGGATCTTGGCACCACAGCTGTTGCGATGGATGACGCAGGACGTTCGAGGATCATCCCGTGGCTCTTGCTTCGCCTGGTTAGGTGGTGAGTAAGTCCCCCCCAAAAAACGGTGGTTTGTGCCATCTATAAATGGATAAATGATTATAAGATATTACAACTCTAGGTTTTTTAGAAACTTATGGAGGTCATGTTTGGGTTGGGGGCTGTGGTGAATGGCTATTCAGTCGCGAGCGGAGGGAGCGGGTGGTTTTTTTCGCGGTTGGGGTATCCATATTCCCACGAAAGCCATGGGGAGTCAACTATCTGAGAGATGAATTGCCCTCTGGTAATTTAACATAGCTATGGAGAATCACCATTTTTAATGGGAAAATCCACTATAAATGGCAATTTTCAATAGCTATGTTAAATTACCAGAGGGTAACATCAATCACTGGGAACATGAAAGGGATTCATGAGATATTGAGAGAATGAATCATACAGTATGAATGGGAAAATCAACGTGATAATTGGTGGGATAATAATGGGAGTCGCCTGGAAAAACTCGCCGCAGCAGGATTTGGTGCAGCCCAACCTGGTCAGCCTGTCTGCTACAGTGGGAGCAGTGACATGGCCCGGTGCATTGTACCTGCTGAAGGGCTGTCAGGACTGGGATCCGAAAACCGCAGGCCTGTGAATGAACCGTGGATGCCTCCAGCTTCGGACAATCCCCAGTGTGGGCAGTTCCGTTCTCTGGTTATAACTGGTTGGTGGTTTTCAAAGATTTCATGGTCAGACATTGTCAGCCTTGGAAATGGGATGATGATCCTAACTTTCACGCAGGAGGGCCGACTTGAAGCTGATCGCATCCTCTTTGGGGCATCCATTTCCACCTGTTCCTCCGGTGTCTTGAAAGGGCCAAGTGGAGGACGTTTTCCAAATGGTAACTGGGGTCCTATAGTATCCCTTCCAGTGGCAATTCATGCGCCACAAATAACTTTGAACTGTGCCATGTATAGCAATATCTTGATGTATATTCATTTGTCAAAGGTCTTTGTATCGACCTTACATAGGTCCGGTACCTTCCATTTCGACGGAACTTCGCCATCATTTTCTCCCAGGTTCTGCTACAACCTGAGGTCTAGCATGGCGGCAAGGGCTGGCTCTGGCTGCTACGAAACCTAGCCTCATTGGATGCAACGCTGCCATGGATGGTTGTCAAGGCTTGGGAGGTGGACACCAGGGTGGCAGGAGCTTGGATCTGCCCAAACTAAATCTCCATCAGGCTGGCTCAACCACCCAACATACCAACAGTTGGGGGTTTGTCAAAATGGGGATCCCCAGTCGTCACCATGGTTGAAACACAATCCTAAGTCCTGGTTTTTTTCCTGACTTGGATGATTTGGGTTCCCCCTATGACTTAGGACTCCATATGGGGATGGGTCAAAACCCTATCCCCCTGGTGAACATCAAAATAGCTGGTAAATGGATGTTCATCCCCCTAAAAATGGTATGTATAGGTATTGATCCATAGCCATATTTCACCCATAGCTCCTAAAGCCCCAAGTGATCAATGCCAGCATCCCGGAGTCCCGGGGTCCTGCGGAGGTGCCTGGCCCGTAGCCCTGCGGATCTTCGCCCAGCTGTCGGTCCTGGGCCTTGAGCCGAGTGCGGCCAGCGTCCACGTGGCGGGCTACAGGTGGCAGGGAGCCTTCCTGGCCTTGCTGGAGATGGCAAGGTCCGGGGGATCCCCAGTCGTCACCATGGGTTGCAATCCTAAGTCATGGATGAATAGCTTAGATTTGTATGGGTACCCCCCTATGAGTTAGGAAATGTGGTGGAGGTTGGGATGGCTGAGAGATGAGTTTTGATCTTGACAGTGATTGATTGGATCTGGATAGATAGGATTTTCCCAGATTGAACGCAAAATTGAAGTGGTAGGATAGCTCTGGTTGGCTCTCAAAAATCATGAAAGTCTACGAACGCACACTGCACCAACATCTTCGGCTTTGTAGCTGGTCTGACCCAGTCACCAGTGGCATCAGACAACCACCCCACGTTTGACCCAGCGTCCGAGGCGACAGTTGAAGCGCGATCTTATCAGCTTTGGCGTTGCCCTCAATGCCTGCCAGATGCAGAGCTTGTGGCTCTCAGCGCTGCAACTGATGGAGGCTTGGGCCTTCTTGGGAGGCGAAGGTGCCAAGTTTGAAGGTCATAGGACCTTGGATCCGTGAGGCGATACGGCCATGGATGTTTTATGATGTTTTGGTGATATCTCCATTGAAACAAATGGCACAACAAGACAACCTCAATTGTTTGCTCATTCACATGGAAAAACCTATAGCCCTTGTTTCATTCTTGACTTTTGAACCCTGACATGAGTGGTGTTACCCTCTGGTAAACTAACAGATACTAACAGTTCGCGTTTTGGAACATGGCCATTATTAATTCTTCATAGTGAGTTTTCCCATTAAAATGGTGATTTTCAATAGCTATGTATAGCCGTTGACCAGGCCGGGTCACATTTTTGGTCAGATGATTTTTCCCCATTTCTATCGCCAGGAACTCCGGATGGTTCACCTGGCAGCAGATCAAGTTTGCTTCAACAGCTGCACGTCATCCTGTGGAGAGGCGGGCCGCTTCGCGGGAGGCAGCTGGATTCGATGGATTTTTGTTGACATCCATAAAAAAAACAGCGAAACAGGGGGCCTTTCTGGATGATTTTTTTTGTCCTTTATTTATTTGAAGCCTATCATTGATTTTTTGTATCGTAGTATATCGATGTATATCGTAGTTCATTGTATATCTATGATCGCCTTGATTCCCTTGCGGTGCCGCGGTGCCATGTCCCAGGCTGACCAATGGCAAATGGCCATGCAGTTGAAAGGGGCTGCAGTGGCCACTGCCAGCTACAATGCAGTAGCGTGGCCTACCAGTTGGTGTTCCCTCTGGTAAACATACAAAAAGCATCAAAAAGCATCAAACAATTATGGAGAATGGGTGATTTATAGTTGATTCACATATTAAAGATGGGGACTTTCCCATAGTTATGTTAGTTTACTGGAGGCTGCGACAAAGGTAAAGTTCTTTGAAATGGAGATGGGTCAAAGAGTTCCAGGCAGCAAGTCACAGCAAAGATGCAGCCCCTCGATGCGGGGCACAGAATATTTGGATCAGAAACCACATGATCAGCATGGGTTTGTTTAAGGTGATTTTTTATTTTCCCAATGGAAAATCCACCATTTGGGGAATCTATAGTTAATATGTTTTATTTTTTGGGAACCCCTTAAGCAAATCCATGTCAGTGTTCTAGAATTTCCGTAGAAAAGTGTTCGGAACAGGGTTGCTTCATGTTGTTTCAAGGCAAAACGAGTGTTTCTTTTCCATTCCTCGCCTCCGCCAGAGGCTTCAAATCACATTCACCTATCACGAGTTTCGACGAAAAAAGGTGACATTTCAGGAATGGACAGTGTGACATCAAGATACGTCTCAACCGTTCAGTGATGATACATGAATCAACCATTGTGGGCACAAGATCATCACAAGATCAGTGGCTCGTTATCAGACAGACAGGTCACTTGGAGCGCTTAATCAAGTTAAACTGTGGTTAAATCCGCATTTTGCCGAGCGAAATCAAAGTGAAAACTCACTTTTGTGATGCTAAATCCACCCATATTCATCCATGACACTAGTCATATCCAATATCATTCACCAGTTGACTAAGTGGGATAGAGGACTAGCTGAGTGGTTTTTTAGCTAAGTGGTTAGTAACAGTAGTAAGTAGTTCACATCCCAAGATCAGTTATATCCCCATATATCCCCACAGGATGGTGCCCTCCAGTTATAAGTTGGTTTATACCCCCATCTAAATATAACTATACTGATTGGTGATTTGGAACATTTTTTATTTTCCATAGTATATGGGATAATCCTTCCCATTGACTCATATTTTTCAGAGGGGTAGGTCAACCACCAACCAGCTATAAGTCTGCAGAATTTAGAGCGAGGTCAGCCGAGGTGCGAGGTAGACTTAGCAAATTCACGAGGTGAATTAACTAATTCACTTCCCACGAGGTGATGCCTTGGCTTGCTTTTGGAGTGGACGATGGACCAAAAAAACTTTTCAGAGGCTGAACAGTTTTTTTTTCCTGGTTGGTTGGCCGCAGTTGCAATGCTTCTATCAGGTCCCGAGGGGAAAAAACTTTTCAGCCTGTGACAAGTTCTTTTTTCTCGCATATTTCTTCGGCCCCACAGCATTTGCCTGAGGGCTAGGGAGCATTGCACTAGCGTGCCATGGCTTTGCGAGTGCTGGTGCAGTCACACTTAGGATGGCCTTGGGAGTGCTTTAAGTCCCCTGATGCCCCCTTTGGGTATGTTCCCTGTGGAACGTTGGGGATGTTCCCTGTAGCAGGAAGGGTGCCATCCATCCTGCAAAGCATACTCATCCGGAATGGTGCCAAAGGGGGTAATTCCCCAAAGTAGATTTAACGAGGGGCGGTGAAGCGTCACAAGCGCGAATTAACGACGAGGTGACGAGGTGCGAATTATTGTAAATTGTCCAGAAATAAGTCACATACGCTATTGTTACAACATAGTTATGTGGACCAGCTTAGCTAACGAACTGGGGCCCCATCCCTTTGATTTAACAGGTTTTCATACCCCTACTCCAGTCAGATCCCCATGATATGCCACCAAGGCCATCAGTGCGTGTGATGGTCCCGGCCAGTGGCGGGCGGCCTTAGCGTCGCTCCAGGCCATGCCGCAGTGGCTCGGCATTGGCTCGGCTTTTTCGTATGGATTCATGGTGATGTTCACCAAGAAACAAGAAAATTTCATGGGATCCGTATGGATTTTCATTGGGTTTTCTATAGATTTTCATTGGGTCTCTATGGGATTTCTATGGTTTTTGTCCGAAAGAATGGTGATTGAATGAATTGAATGGCGATTTGAACCCAACAACCATGGAGATTAATGTTTTTGCATGCTGATTTAGTGATTAATGATTCTTAATGTTTTTTTGATGGTGTTTATCCTCCGGTAATCAAAGGTAGCAATGGGACATCCCCTATACGTTGAGGTCTGGATGGGAACATCATCTATAAATCGGCAATTTTCTTCTGAATTCTTTTGACACGTTTGTTTTTTGGAGCGTTTTTTTTTTTGAATTGTTTTTTGAATTGTTTATCAATGGCAATTCTGATGCTTTAACGGGATGTAATTGGGATATGCGGAATGAATAGGACAAGGTTTTTTAAGCCATTCTGTTCCTTTTGACTCCAATTTCTGGACAGTTTCTTTTTTCCCATTGTGATTTTTACACTTGGGAGATGCCGCCTTTTAAATCTGACCTTCTGTGAAACTGTTATGGATTTTGAGTGTTCGGAAATCTCAAAAGATCCAAATGATTTGGGTTGGAATGTTATTGAAATCACCAAAAGGCCCCGAGTTGATTGTTTTGATATGGATGTGTCCAACCATGGCCCAAACACGCCCCACTGCATGGTCTATTCTAACAACCACTTTCTTCGGGTGATGCCCCAAAAAAACTGACATTCTATCTGACAAATATACTAACATTCTACCTGACATTTTATCTTGCCATTTATTTGAAATTCTGACAAGACATTTTGGCTGGCACAGTGTTCGGGTTGGGGGCCAGAGAGCCTGCGAGCTTGCCATTCTGTTCGGGTCCGGCGAGGCCCAGAGAGCTGGCGAGCTTGCAATAGAGTGACGGTGTAGACACAGCTGGCAAGGAAGTTGGGGATGACATGCTGGCGAGGCTCAGGGTAGCGCAGGTTCCCCAGGTGTTCCTGAGGAGCATACCCAGTTCAGTGAACCTCACAGTTTCGTTTTATGGAACAGGCTGGCCTGCCCGGACAGTGGTTGGAGCTGTTGAGGACCTCTGGAACACATGGTCGTCTAACGCTGAAACGTCCTTGCGGGAAACTGGCTTAATCCAAACTAGCGACCACTTTCAGGATTGCGGCGCGAAATCATGTTTGCTCTCAGGTGGTTCTTCCATGAGTTTGGGCCAAAGTCTGCGAGAAAGACAAGGAACCGAAAAAAGTTCTTGTTCCATTGCCTATAATGGCAACGCGTGGAATTTCCTCAGGAAGTCTGACGCTCTTGAACGATTTCTTGATGAATTCAGACAGTTGAAGAGGATGCAGGATCTGAACGCATGGCTGCCAATTCTACAGACTTGTCCTTTACTGCTCGAAGTCTCTGCGCCATGTCTTGTGATAGTATGTGCCCATGTCAGTCACTTGCACACGGCTAGTCAACGCGCACCAGCTAAGCCCATCATCGCTCGGCATGGATGGGGCAACGAAATATCTCCAAAGATGGTCAGTCTGCAGCATCCGTTGCTGATGTGTTTTTGTTCCCCCTGCGCCCCCCACCGGAAGTCAGGTGGGGTCACTTTGTTCCCAAACGTAGTCCCTTTGTTCCTTTGCGGGCGTCAGGAATCGGAGCTGCCCCCAGTGATGCAGGCCGCAAAAGTTCGCAAAACCGCAGGTCAAGCATGCAGTGTGCACATGTGCCGTGACCGTGCTGCAGCAGCACAACAGTTGCTGTGGCGCTAGGATTCGGATGATGGATGGAACAACTGGAATTCTGAGGCGTGGTCGGGAAGTCCGGAGGGGGTTGGCCAGGAGCTTGGCGGGTGGGTGAGGAGGAAAGGAGAGGAGGAGAAGAAGGAGGAGGAGCAGGACAAACTATATACATAAAACCTAGAAGCCTTTACTTGGCAGCTGAAGAAGCAGGCGCGTGCCAAAAACATCCAAAAACAACATTGCCCAACATTTTTGACAATTTCGGTTTGATTGAATGGAGGGGCATCCCAAAATTCAGCGGCTAACCATCACTTTCCCATTGAAATGGCAATATTTTTAGGGGAAATTTACGCTTGTCACACACACACACACATCCAGAACACAAAATGGTGGGTTCTGTATCCCCTTATATTTCCCATCAAAGCTCCAAGAAACACTGGCTAGTTGCAGTTTGTTCTCCAATTTCCGCATTTTTTTTTCACGTGAGAGATGTGGCTGCGGGTGCAGAGGTCAAGGCTTGCGCGGGACCAGCGGACATACAACGCGGCCTCCAGCGCCGCCCGGGTGGCGTGGAGGACGTCGCTGGCGTTGATGGATTTTTGCGCGGAGGATTTGGCAGGTCGGGCAGCTGGTGGTGGCGGTTGCTGAAGTCTTTCCATCCAACTAACATAGGCCCTGCCACAAGTTAGGCTTAAAAAGAGTGTTTCTTCTAAAAGATTAGTTGTTTTCAGATTCTACGTTAGTTGGGATGGTAAACGAAAATGATGGGACAGCCCAAAAAACCAGCGGTTGATCATCATTTTCCTGGTGAAATGGCCATTTAAGCATGTGTTTATATTTAAATCGTGTATCCGCCATTCTTGAAGAAACTCAAATGAGTTGGTGAGTTCAGTGGGGTTGTTCACATTGTAGATTTGATGGTATGATCGATGGATTATTTTTTTAAAATGGAAACCATTTCGGTGGACGTAGCAAAATCTTGAGCAACAGAACACTGGAACTTCTGTTTTATCAAGGGAATTGCTTGATACAAAAAAACCAACAATGGCACGTGGGCAACTTCCGCATGCTGGAAAAGGCTACAGTGCGGTGATCAGCGCCTATGAGGGCAAATCTCTTTGGAAACCAGCCTTGGGAGTATTGGAGCTGCTTCAGCTCAGGAGCAATGGATTGGGCACAGATTTGGAACTGTTCCTTGTGGACCTTGGCATTGGATAAGACGATCTCAGCGAGTTGCGATGCATTCCATTTAAATTGGGCAGAATCTTGAGACCTGCAGGATGAACCTGTCAACGGGTCTATTTTAGAAGATAGGGGCGCCATGGTCGTACAATGACCCAATATCTCAATTCATCAAGGAAGACCTTTGTTTTTCGTACGACAGGAGCGTGGAGCTCGACACAATCGTCTACAATGGCGCCAGCAGTACATGTGCCAAAGGCCTCGTGGGACCGCTGGTCCATCAAGCAGTGAGACTTTGAAGTAAGGGGAAACCAGTGGGTGGGGAGGATACCCTCTGGCAAACTAACGTAACTATGGAAAATCACAATTTATAGTGGGCAAATTTAATCGCCTATAAATGGCGATTTTCAATAGCTATGTTAGTTCCCAACGCCGCCCCCAGGCAACTGGTAACGACACCCCTATTTTTTTGTTTTTTTTTAGGGCTTGTGGGGTAGGGGGGGGATGTCAACGTCCCTGTGAACTTGCTCACGTCATGTATGCTTCTTGAACTTCGGGGTTTGGGTGGGGTGGGGGTGGATGTTAAGGTCCCTGTGAACTTGCTCACGTCGTGTATGCTTCGTGAACTTCGAGGATTCCTGGGTTATCTATATATACAATATTACACACTGAAAATCACATTTAGATACATATATATATAAATGTGTATATAAAAATGTGCATACATATACATTTATTTTCACTATTTTATAAATACACATGTACATATCTTGTTGTTTATGGGGTCAACGCCCCGAGGCGGGCGTGGTTTTTTCCACGTTTGTGCTCTTTGGCAGTATACGTGTTTAACGCTCTTGCCGACTGTAAGATGACGCTACCGAAGACACGTTGCCCAACTTTGTTGCTGACGTCTTGCTACCTTGACCGGGAGGGGGGGTGGGGGGGGATGATAACGTTCCTTTCGACTGTAAGATGACGCTACCGAAGACACGTTGCCCAACTTTGTTGCTGACGTCTTGCTACCTTGACCGGGAGGGGGGGTGGGGGGGGATGATAACGTTCCTTTCGACTGTAAGATGACGCTACCGAAGACACGTTGCCCAACTTTGTTGCTGACGTCTTGCTACCTTGACCGAGGAGGGGGGTGGGGGGGTGGGGGGGGGATGATAACGTTCCTTTCGGCTGTAAGATGACGCTACCGAAGACACGAGCACCAGTGGCTGTATCTTCTAGGTGTCTCGTTAGCACTTATGTTTGGCTTTAAGCTTTGAGCACCTGTGCAAACACACACACATATATATATTTATATATATATTACACATATTGCTAGGTTCATTTACAACATACATTTATCAAAACGCATGTTTTTATATACATGTATGTTTACATTATATATATATATTTATATATATATATGTGTAAAAGGTATTTTATATCTATGTATTTATATCAAGCAGATGTTGCGGAATTGCAAAAGTTTTTTTTTGCATTTTGACATCTTGCAGCAAACGTCAAAAACATCATAGATCACAAGCATAAAATACTGTAAATTACAGTGCAAAAAGGTGATTTTTGATGCAATCACCAAGTACACAATTGTAGAAAACCCACACCCGCCTCAAGGCGGTGTTCCCTTGTTTATATTTATGTCCTTAATTATATTTCTCACCTACCGACACACACACATATACACACACACACATATATATATATGTTTGTATGTATGTATGTATGTATGTATGTATGCGTGTGTGTGTATGTATGTAATGTAATGTAATGTAATGTAATGTAATGTATGTATGTATGTATATATATATATACATAGGAAATGTATATATATATATAATCTATACCTATATCTACATATATATATATACACACATATGTACTTATGTTTAGACAACTTAAACCAACTTGTCGGGGAATGTTCCATTGCACTTTCTCAGACAATTGGCCAAAGCTTGCAACGCTGGCTGATAATGGCGCAAGAACAAAATAGCACAAGGTGCAAAGAACAAAAGGCGCCAAAAAACACCAGTTGCCCAAGGGCGGCGCGACCTGTTAGTTTAGCAGAGCGTACAGCTCTATTTTGGGCCGCTTCCCAACTTGCAAGGCGGAGTTGGAACTGGCTCCCTGCCCCCCTGTCGTGGCAGGCACTCAATGGCAGCTGGCAAGCAAAACCTTGTCTCTGTTGCCGATGTTGTTCTTGGAACAGCAGGTCCCCTGGCAAACATGTCAGATGGGTTGGGAAGAAGATGATGGAGATGTTGTGACTTTCTTGGATCACAAATATCTTTTGTTCCTGCAGTTTTCCGATTGGTTCGGGGAACCACAGTTTCTAGCCCAGTTCACTCTCATCTTCATGGTAGAAACCCACTTTAAAGCGACCAGTGTTTGAACCTTACAGCAAGAAACATCGAAAAACAACATTGTTGTGGTCATGAAGTCCCCTACTTGGGCTTGTACATTTGAACTAGGGAAACTAAACCTCACTTGCTGACCAATTGCAGCCAGTGGGTGAATCTCCGAGCAAAGGATTATACCTTCAATGCAGTGGTCAGCGCATGCGCCAAGGCTCTAACATCCGGAATGGATAGAAGATGAGAATATGAATAGTACACCTCCAATCCTCAAAGTGACATGAGTTAGAGATGCACAAGTGGGTGCCCTCAAAAACTGGTTTATGAAGGTGACATTATGTTGGATTTATATCTTTGATACTATTTTTGATGCTTAAATCCTGCCTATTTAAAGGTTCGAAAAAACGCCCACATCTGGGATTTTTCAGTGGGACAGGCCGAGCTGGAAGCAGCCTCCAGCAACTCCATTGCTTTGTCCCTTCAGCAGATGAACGACATCCGACAGACGCTGGTGAACACGCTGGTGAAAAGCTTGTTTCAACGGGTGTGGTTTACGGCGTCTACGGGGAGAAATTTGGGGCGCTTAAAGAATGCAGCCAGAGGTCTGACAAGAGCCATTTCACTAGGTCGAAAGGCAGCCTTGCAGCCTTAAAAACTTATCTATGTATATATATATATATACACATACACATGCACACACGATCCTGTCTTGAAAGGGTGGGTACCTTCCAATCGATTTTGGGTAATTGGATGTATGTTCAGCCCCATTTTCAGCGTTAAATAGGATGTTGGCGACGTATTTTCAACTGCTTCATTCAAGGAGGCGGGCATCACATGATCCACCAAGCGGCTGTTCATCGCACACGCATCTGCCGGCCCAACAGCTTGCAGAGCCAGATTGCAATCAAAAAATCAAGTTCATTCAGTGCTTCAAAAATCAACCCAGTGCCCCCCGAACTCTTGGTATAGAACAAAGCTATGCTTTCAGAGCACCAAGCAGACAAAGCAGACTTTGTGACACAATCAATGATTCATCCACTCCCATCCTGAGAGGGGTAGCCCCATGACACACCATTCCTGGAGCACCCAAGCTGGCTGGGTTTCATAATATTTTGGCGCAGTATGACATAAACGTATTGCATGTCTCAAAAGTCGGAACAAAAACATATCGACTCCCCAAGACTTGCATGGTGAAAACTGCTAGAAATCTCAACAGAACCAATGCCATGAAGGTATGGCTCAAAAGTGACCAAAATTACTCCCAAACTTGAATGGTCAACTAAACTCGTCAACACATGCCAAAATCGGTCAAGCTGATTTCCATTTCGTTTGGTCAAAACTGGTGAACAAATCCAGATGGAACCACCCATCCTTACCATCTGTTCGACATCCTTACCACCCTTAACCATCCCTACCTTGGTCAAAACTGGTCGTACTTAACCACCAGCCATGTGTGACTCTTGACTCCTAACCCAGCCCCATGGCCCGCCATGCCGTCCCGGAAAGCGCTGGCCGTGGCCGGTGTGGCCGGCTGCGTCTGGCTGAGCTCGCAGCGGGGCCGAGTGCTGCTGGAGGTGGCAAGGGGAGAAGGGATGGAGAATGGACATGGGTCCAAAATGGGGATGGGTCAAAATCTACTAGTGTGGGAAAACCAATAATAAACCTACCATGACTGGGGATGGTCTATACCATACCCATTTTTTGAGGATGGTTTATTATTTGATTTGCCACATTACACCATTTTTTTGGGCGGGATGAACATCCATGAATCCCAGCTATTTTGGGGTTCACCAGGCCAACCACAGGCAATGCAATATGCAGGCAGTGCCTAGATTAGGATCCATCACCCTTACCCTCACCCACACTCCTCATCCTCATCCTGATCTTGATCCTGACCCCGATCCTCATTCTCCCATTCCTCCTCATCATCATCACCATCATCATCACCACCAGCATTATCCTCATCCAATGCATCCAACTCATGAACATATGCAACTTCACCAACAATTGCAGTTACAAATCATGATGGGAATCCCTATCCATCGAGCATGGCACCGCAGGGCCGCGATGTTGCGCCAGTGCCACATGTCCCACGCTCGCTGCGCGTGCCGCGGCTGCTACGGCGCGCGGGAGGCGCTGATGGCAACACCAAAAAAAATCAATAGGTGGATCAGGCACTATTGGTTGATCATCTGCCATCTAGATATAGATAAAAACTGCAAAACCATCTAGAACTGATGGATATCTAGATGGATAAACCGAGAAGTAGGTGAATAGATAGATAAATGAACTATGTGTGTGTATGTGATGTAATGTGATGTAATGTATTGTAGATGTGAAGGTGAACGAGAATGTAAGACAATACAATGGAACGCAATGCAATGAATGTGTGGCTGTCGTAGAATGCCATTTGAGGACTAAAGTCGAGTCCCCTACATTCTGCATCAAATTCATTTGCTACTGATTTGTGCCCACCGTGCAGGGAATCCACGCAAGTCTCTCTCGGGAGCTTTGCAATCCACAGATTTGTGGCAATTGGAGCCCTCGCCGGAAGCAGAAGAGACACTACCCCAGGCGGAATCACCAGCAACAGACGGAAAGAATTGGAAATCAATTTGTCACCCCAACCGATGCCCGTCGGAAAGTTGAAAAGTCAGTGCTCCCAGCCCCATAAACATGTCAGAGACGTGTATTCACTAAATCATTGCCTCGGGCTTGGGCTTGCGTTGAAGAAAAGACCAGTGTTCCCTGCCGGACCTCAACCACGACCATGCCCGCCCAGTGTTCCCTGCCGGACCTCAACCACGACCATCCCCGCCCAGTGTTCCCTGCCGGACCTCAACCACGACCATCCACGCCCAGTGTTCCGTGCCGGACCTCAACCGCGACCATCCACGCCCAGTGTTCCCTGCCGGACCTCAACCACGACCATCCCCGCCCATTGTTCCCTGCCGGACCTCAACCACGACCATCCACGCCCAGTGTTCCCTGCCGGACCTCAACCGCGACTTCCAGATCGCAGTGGGCACTGCCGGACCTCAACGGCAAGAATGTCAGAAAAGATGTCAGATAGAATGTCAGAAGATATGTCAGAAAGAATGTCAGAAGACATGCCAGATAGAATGCCAGAAGATATGCCAGATAGAATGCCAGAAGATAGAATGCCAGAAAATATGCCAGAAGATTTGCCAGATAGAATGCCAGAAGATAGAATGCCAGAAAATATGCCAGAAGATATGCCAGATAGATATGCCAGAAGAAATGCCAGAAGATATGCCAGATAGAATGCCAGAAGATATGTCAGAATATATGCCAGAAGATATGCCAGATAGAATGCCAGATAGAATGCCAGAAGATTTGCCAGATAGAATGCCATAAGATATGCCAGATAGAATGCCAGAAGATCTGCCATATAGAATGCCAGAAGATATGCCAGATAGAATGCCAGAAGATTTGCCAGATAGAATGCCAGAAGATAGAATGCCAGAAGATATGCTAGATAGAATGCCAAATAGAATGTCAGAAGATATGTCAGATAGAATGCCAGAAGATTTGCCAGTAAGAAAAATGTATAAATGTCATGGTGGGGATCACACGAAGTAAAGTAATTTGTAGGGTTTGGTTGTCTCATGGTATCTTTGAGATACATGCAGACATACCGTTCCGGAAAGCTTGTGCTTTGAACATGCGTTTGCGTGAGTCTTGTGATCATCATCATTCATCATCCATGAGCTGGAAATCCTGCCTTTAACCCAGCAGTATAAGGGGACGTCAGGAGGTTTTGAACAATGCTCAAACACGGCGGGGTCCCCAAACGTGATGTTTCTTGGTTAAGAAACCCCCATGAATTGTGATATCCCTTATATAACCCAACCGTTAATCAAGTTATGTTCACCAACTTAGCTAAAATAGATCAACTATAAACCCTTATAAACAAGTTCCATCATTTTCCTATAGGTTAACTTCCACTTTTCTTGGTTAAATTGTTTGGGGGCCGCTGCTTGGACCACGGCACCGAACCAGGCGCCGAAAGCCCAGCCCTTCTCTGCGGATGCCGTGCTTCGCATGGCCAGTGAGGGACAGAGCCAACGTGCTGGGCGCTGGTTGGAGACGTTGCTGACACGGAATTTCTTGGAACTTGAGTCACTTGAGTGGCAAAACTCCTGGTAAAAACCACACTTCTGGGAATTACCCCCTGGTAATTTAACATAGCTATTGAAAATGGCCAGTTATAGTGAGTTTTCCCATGAAAAATGGTGGATCTTTTTTCCATAGTTATGTAAACGTTTACCAGAGGGTATATGGAATGTTTTCACGGAATATGATAACCAACACTTGAGCCACTTGGATGGCAAGACTTCGGCTATAACATGGGAATATACTGAGATTTAGAGGGAGATATGGGGAAAATCAAACTTATGGACAGATTTCGTGGGGATAACGAAATTTCATGGTATATTGAAGCGGATCATTAAAACATCATGAGAATATATATATATGTAATTATATATCTATATATATGTATGCAATTGAATGGCATATAGATAGATAGATAGATAGATAGGTAGATAGATAGATTAGATTAGATTTGATTTGATTAGATTTGATTAGATTTGATTAGATTAGATTAGATTAGATAGATAGATAGATAGATAGATAGATATATATATATATATTTATGATGTAGTAGATAATTTGATCTTACGGGGAGAAATGGGAAAACAACCAAACCTATGCGAATATGATGGGATGTTATATGATGGGTTCTTGAGCCACTTGGTTTGCAACAGACCTATCTGGCGGTGAATGGAGGGAGTGGTTGGCAAAACAAGGGTGTATTGATGGGACATTATGGGGAATATGATGGGAAGATCACAGGCCGATCACGGGAATATTATGGAACTTGCTGGGCAAAGACATGGAAAGCATGAGGTCAATCGGGTATATGGATGTATAATCACATCCCTAATGGTTGGGCTTTTTATTTTTATGAGACATTTCACTCTCCTTTGAGGTCATGAAATGGAGCTATCAAAGAAGACAAGGTCTTAGGACAATCACGGGATATAGTGGGACTATTATGGGACGAAACTATCTGGCGAGATGTGGGGGGAGCTGTGAGTTGGAGCTACCAGGGAGTGGAACGCGGGAAGTAACAGGACTTCCCAACAAAAAATGGTAGAAAATCAGCTCAACAATGAATGATTTGAGGAAATTTTCGAAGGAATTTGGGATCCACGGGTTTTCCAAACTGACCAGACATTTGAGATGGGTTTAAACCAGATCGAAAGTGCTTTGAAACAAACTGGATATGATTGGATATGTATGTTTTACCGTAAGTGTCCTAGAAGCCAGAGAGGTTGATGATAGGTCGATTCATCTTCCAATACCAATTTGAGCGGTGAATGCCCTCTGGTAATCAAACATGGCTTGCTGGAAAATCCACCATTACAAGCTGTTTTTCGTATGAAAACCTCCATGTTGTAGGAGATTTCCCACGTAGCCACGTTTGATGACCGGAGGGTGGGGGGAAGACCATGGTGCCATGGCAGCCCTCATCCTGCACCCTCCCTTCGACTCGAGGTCAATGGTCAACTGCTTTGGTGCTTTGGCGGTCTCCTATGCCAGAGAGGTGTGGGGCTTCGTTTTTTGGGGATGGCCGGGACGGCCATTGCGGCTGATGCAAATGGTCATTGAGTTCGATGATTTCGCTCGCAAAGTGTGAAATGACCGGACCACTCTTACCAGGTCTTACCATCATTGGGACCAGTGCATTGCTCTTGCCATGAAGCCTTCAATTCTTGTGGTCTGGCTGAAGTGAACAGCTTCAGGGCAATGCTGGGGCCGCCATGCGCTATCTGCAGCGCATTCGGGACGTTGGCGGCACGCCGGAGGCTGGGACCCCCCCGACTGGCACCAAGCAAAGGCAAAGGGAGATCAGCAGAAAACGTGGGGGATAAAATCAAGGTCTAAGGCGAATTATGGTGGTTTCAATTGTTTTTTATATTTTTTCCATGTCTCAAACTGGGATGGTACGAACTGAAAACGATATTCTTGGGATGGATTGAAACTTACCACCGTTTACCTCAAAGGACATGGAGGTGGGGTTCAAAGCTTGGCCTCCCAGAACTGCTTGAAGTTGGGCCTTTTTCCCCAGTTGAGTTCCAAAGTTTTGACAGGGCACTTCCAGAGGTCTCACTGAAAATTGATGTTTTTTTTTGGGCAAAGCATCAATGGCCTTGGGGTCGTCCCAGCCGCAGGCGGAAATTTTCCGATCGCTGCTGGAGGCATTCGCTGAAGGTCGGCCGTGGCCACCAGGGGTTCCAATTGTGTGAAAGGTGGGTTAAAGAAGTTGGTGCTTTTATCGAAGAACGTTTAGAAGTCAAACTTCCGACAATATGGACAGTTGAAAAGCAGAGGTGGGAAGAATCAGAGAAGAGAAAGAGTCGGAAGAAAGAAGATTCAGGTGCACGAAAAGGTAGAAAAGTCGCGGAACACTGTGTTTTTCTAATGATTTGAGGCTCCGGAGGGTCGAAAAGTAGGCTTGCTAAAGCGGCGGGCGCGGAGCCATCTGGGCAGATGAGAGATGAACAATTGCACGCCGTAGTGGCGCGAAGCACATTTGGAAGTCAACATGTGCAAGACACCTCACGTTCAGAACACTTTTGGAAGTTGAGATGTTGAAAAAGTACGCTCCGTTGTTGCACGAAGCAGATTTTGAAGTCAAAATGTGCAAAGCACCTCAGCCTCGGGGCGCTTTTGGGAGCTCAGATGTTCAAACGCGTTGTGGCGCGAAGTACATGTCCAAGTCAAAACGTACAAGACACACCAGGTTCGGAGCACTTTTGGAAGTTGAGATATTGAAAAAGTGCACGCCGTTGTGGCGCGAAGCACATTTCGAACTTAAAAGCGTTAACAGCCGACAGTCTTGGTGCACTTTTGGACGTTAGGATGGCGCAATGGATTCGGCATCTTGCTACAAGTGAGAAAAACGTGCAGGTTTCGTAGCCCAATTGACCTTCATATTTTTTTTGGGTGGCCCAACCAGGAAAAAGTTGACTCAAACATACTCAAGCAGGCCATCTTGGGGTCCTGTAAACCAACCTCAATTTCCCGTAATTGAACCAAGAAAAAGGGCTTCTAGCTTGGACCTGATGGTTTTTTTCTGTTGAAAATCAAGTTGGTGCAGTTTTTCCGGGTTTCATCAACTAAGATCCAGTAAGATTTTTGGTCCCATCACTGGCCGGTGGCGCTCGGCAGGCGAGGAACCAGATCCAGTGAAGACCGAGAGTTCTCTGGTTCTGTTGCAGTGCCTGCGACGCAACTGATGCAGCCGGTGTGAGCATCAGAGACACGGTTGGGTGGATTATGGCATTCACTTACAGTACCAACAAAAAACCAACAGTCAGACCCTGAGCATCACACATGTTTAGAAGAAATGTTTTTTTCGATTCCCGAGTTATGGTAGGGTTACTTTTTGGAGGGGATCAAATGGGTTTGTTCAAAAATGAAGGATACTCAAATTTATTGCGAGTCTCATGGAATGTCTGGTCAACCCATATCTCCGAATCCCGGTTTGGCAGGTGTGATTGTTGGGAAAACCAAAAGGTAACATACATAGGTTCCAATAGGAATGGGTGGTGCAATGGCACTGCTGTCTGTTCATGTTGTTTGTTTTTTGGTGCTTCCATGCTTTCTAGGTACCTTCAACCTTCTCCGAACCACAGCAAAGGTCAGTTGTAGACATTGAGGATCGTTCGTGATCGCCAAAAACTTGCCTCCCTTTAAATAGATATTGACCTGTGGATCCATGTGGATCCTGAAGATGAGGAGGAACTGTGATCTTCGCAAATAGTCCAAAAAGGAGTTAGGGATTTTCGTGGCGAAGCATGGGGCGGAAAGCGATTTTTGGGATGGGTGAATGGATCGTTTGAGGCCCAGCTCGAATCACTGTGGGGTTTGCCATGATTTAAACCATCTGGTTATGACTAACAGTTTGCCATGGAAAGATCCACCATGCTATTAATAGGTAAACCATCTATTTCTATGGGTCATCTATACCATGGCTATGTTAGTCATAACCAGATGGTAATTAAACCCACCGGACCTGAAAGCCACATGTTGCTTTTCTCAACCTCCAGGATTTACCCACGGGCTGAGGCAGATGAGGCGTGCAGGACATGCTCCTGATCTCGATTGTTGCAACGCGGTGCTGCGGAGTCTAGGCTGGGGGCAGATTGGTCCACAAAATTACGGATGTGAGATCCATACGTGGCAGTATCACCAACATTCATCAAGAATGAAACGTTGAACGTAGAGCTGACAATGTAAAGATGATATATCCAAGAGCCAATGGCTGGAACTATCTGGAACATCTGGGATCATGTGATGGGGCCCGATTCATTTATTTCATGAAGATCTTCGGTACGAATCAAAATTATGAACCCCTCTGAAATGAACTGAATAATCAGTGTTCCAAAGCCTAGTTCGTTGATGAGTTGGGATGAAACAAACCCAATATACTGGGGGCGTTTTAATAATCCAATTGCCCTCTGGTAATTTAACATAGCTATTGAAAATCACCATTTTTAATGGGAAAATCCACTATTAATGGTCATTTTCAATAGCTATGTTAAATTACCAGAGGGTATATCCAATTATAATCCCAAGATGGCGACGGTGAACGGAAACAACCATGGATTACCCGGATCCCACCAGATGGCGACACTGGGGATCTCAATCCATCCACAATGATGAACTTAAGGTACGAATATAATAATTTCTAATAACCATCTAATGTAATGTTATAACATCATATAACAGTTATAACCATATAATATGATTAGTATATGCTAATATATAACATCATATAACATCTAACAACCATCAAGAACCTGATCCCCAGCTCAAGTGGCTTCCAGGCCTGCGCAATAACGACCCAGCGGCCGCTGCCAGGCATGTTCTTTGAGGGTGCACGGGGTGCAGCAAATCCATTAAATTCCACCCTGGTAGAGGTCTAAACTAATCAGATACCAGACTAACTACGTCTACTGTAACTCTTAGTACCCTCTGGTAATTTAGCATAACTATGGAAAATCACCATTTTTCATGGGAAAACTCACTATAAATGGCCATTTTCAATAGCTATTTTGACATCACCAGAGGGTAAATGGCATGGCTTTGTTTTGGGCAAAACATGAAGCCACGGCCAGGGGATTACTCAAACTGGTGAAGGCATCCGTCCATGCGCCAGGTGGATGAAAAATGAAATGCCCCAACTGGGCGTGCCTAGGAAAACATCAGATGACCTTTGTGATGTTGGAGAGCAGGGAAGGGCTGTGAGTTCAAGTTGCCGCCAATAGGTTGTTTTATGCAATCCCACATTTGGAGGGAAATCATTTGGACAGCTTAGATATTCCCTCTGCAAATCTTAGTTTGCAGGGTAGTTCCCATTCAGACAGTATGGAGCTAGTTTGCCGGTGGCAAGTGGAATCCCACTTTTTCATCCTCGAAATCCCCTGAAAGGTCCAAGTCAAGAAGGCTCGTTAAAGTTTGGACATCCCTCAACATTAAAAAGTATCATTGTTCCCTTGACCATGGACTGGTGGGTGGTTTCAACATGTTTCAACATGTTTCAAACATTTCTGGTGTTTTCAACCATACGTGGGATGGTGGAGATGACAACTGTACAATTTTGTGAGTCAAAACTACCAACTAATGAACATACAACAAGCTATTGACATTGGCCCAGTCGAAATAGTTGATTGACCCATTAATAGCATGGTGGATCTTTCCATAGTTATTTGTACGTTTACCAGAGGGTACCAACTAATAAACCACCAAATGTTGCCTTAGTGACGTGGCTGCGATCTCAGGTGGAACCGGATGTAGAGTCGATTGAGATCCTGGTGGAAGCCTACTTCTTGCAAGGTGGGAGTTGTATGATCAAGGAATGGGTAGGCAACATGAAAGGAACTGAATGCACAATGACAGGAATATGCATGCAAATGAAAGGAACATGAAGGAACATGTATGCAATAAATGCAACACGAAAGGAACATGAAGTTGCCGAAGCACCTGAAACCAACGAAACAACTGTTGGATCCACTTCCGAGCCTGTTTAGGAATGGATTTTGGCTTCATGTTGGATCTTGAATATGCTGACTTCCACAAAACCCTGGAAAGCGACCCACCCCAAAAGCGATAGCCATAACAGATGTAAAGGATTTTGACCGGAGCTCATATACTTATATACAAATATATATATATATATATTTAGACAACATATAATATTAGCACTAATGTAGTAATTATCGGGCATTGCTGAACACATTCTTATTTTTTTCTTCTTGGTTAATCCATCCACTTTTTTTTAAAAAAAGAGCTGGTGGCAGCACATCCAGTGGCTGCCAACCCCCGTGTTGGTTGATGATTCCGGGGGTTACCCAAACCAAAGATTGGGAAAAACATCACCACTACTAACTGATTTGGGTTTTTTTTGATGCGAACTAAGCAGTTATTATACTAACATATTATATGAACCATATAATCGGTTATGATTTTGTAAGATGGCAAATACTCACAATATAACAATACACTTATTACGAAATCCACGAACTAACCAGTTATTTCTCTTACGCATAGCGAATAAATTCACCCTTGCACTCCATGGGGAACCCCGGTTGAAGCCGCCAAAGGACGGGCCACTATATCCACAATCCTATCTCTATAATCTATATCTATGGATATATATATATACACAACGATATATATATATATATACATAGTCGCATATTAATTACAAGTTTCATTATAACATTATATATATAATATATATATATATTGTACAGATACATGTATACAAGGTATTACAAGGTATTACAAGGTATTACAAAGGATTACAAGGTATTACAAGGTATTACAAGGTATTACAAGGTATTACAAGGTATTACAAGGTATTACAAGGTATTACAAGGTATTACAAGGTATTGCAAGGTATTACACGGTATTACAAGGTATTACAAGGTATTATAAGGTATTACAAGGTATTACAAGGTATTACAAGGTATTACAAGGTATTACAAGGTATTACAAGGTATTACAAGGTATTACAAGGTATTACACGGTATTACAAGGTATTACAATGTATTATAAGGTATTACAAGGTATTGCAAGGTATTGCAAGGTATTACAAGGTATTACAAGGTATTACAATTTCATATACCATTTGTTTGGCATACTTTTTGTACGGTAGTCATGATGAAATATGCTCCCCTCCCAGGCCTTCGAAAGGGTGCCGCCAGCTGGTTGGCACAATTGAGGTGAGATGATTTGAGGTTGAGCCATGAAACGTTGGTTGGGTATGAAATGGGACTTTGAAATGGGGTAAAAAAACCATCGAACATGGAAGATCATAACATGATATAACTGGTTGATTGGGTAGGATAAAAGAATATACTACCTAGTTCATTTGGGATTATGAGCGATTCCAAAGGAAAACGGTTTTGAACACAAGGATTTCAGATGAGAAAACGGGGCAGTTGGGCTAGTTTTTAGTGGCTCCAATGGGCCTGTCAATCAGTAGATTTAGGGCTACTGTACCCTAGTTTCAGACAAACCCAAATAATTTTGTATGGGCATTTGTGGATGTATATGTATATATATGTACATATATATATATATATACACATGTGGATGTGTAGTATACAGTGTAAAGATGGCCGAGTTGTTTTCTCTAATTTCCGCACCTCTTTTTAGATTACATTCATGTGTATGATACATGGAACCAACTGATCCATGGACATGATGGACATGTATGGTCCGTTGACCTTTCTTTTCAAACGGGTGTGAACACGCTTCTGATATGGTCGATAGACGGGCTTTACAAAGGTATTTTCATATACCATCTGGTAATTTAACATAGCTATTGAAAATGGCCAGTTATAGAGGATTTTCCCATTATAAATGGTGATTTTCCATAGTTTTTTGTATGTTTACCAGAGGGTATTTTTCAGACTGTTCCATTCCCAAAAATGACCTGATGACCCGAAGCAGCCAGATGTTCGGATGGCCAGGCAGCCCTCCATGCGCTTGCTGGCCATGTTCCTGGATGGCAGCCAGAAAGTGGTTGGAAAAACTCCGTTGATTTACTGAAGACCATGGCAAGATCCATGGCGAATGATCACAAGATCCATGGCCTGAACACCCTTGTGGATTCCTGGGGTTAATCCATAGCCACTAGGCTATGAACATGGTTGCCATGACGAATTACGATGCTACTGGCAACCCTTTTTGTATGGAATAGCAATACGGAGCAGACAGGCAGTTTGTAGTGCATCACATCTTATTTTTTTTGGGGTGAAAAAAATTGAGCCCTAGTCGTGAAGTGATGTTGTTGGAGGGGACTTGGGGGTAACCAGTTCCAGCACTGAAATCCCGCGTCCGATCGAATCTCAAGAAAGAGGAGTTTGAAGTATTTGGGATGATCAATCCAAATCATTTGGAACACCAAATTTGATAAACCAACTTCGATAAAGCAAATACCTTTGTTGTGGTTCTTGGATAATTGTTGGTTATCGTCCCGTATCATCCCCATTTGTTGATCTACAGTAGGTAGGAAATCATCCTCTGCGATTCAATCTTAAAATCCCCATCATTGCCCATACACTAGTTATATCAAGTTAATTCAAGTTGTATATGTATACCTACAATCCGACCAATTGTTATTTTTCATCCCCCAATATGGGGATGTTGGTCCCCATTCGTTGATTGATAATTATATCATCCTCATTCGTTGATTTGTTGCATCATTGATATCCCTATGATATCGCCATTTGTTCGTTTACCACATTCCTTAGTCTTGTAAAATGATGAATTGAACACTCTTCTCGGCATTCACTGACTCCCTTAGGTTTCGCGACCGGCTCCTACAGACGGATGAGGCATGACATGGATTTTTCCCTTATTTGCTGATATGGAGCTTTCCTAAAATAGGGGATCCCCAAAATCATTTCAATACTAAAATGGTCTAATTTGGATGATTTGGGGGTACAGTCCCCCCATTTTAGGAAACCTCCATATCTACAGCACGGATATTTGATTATACAAACATAACTATACGCTGTTATGCGGTATTATCGGACAAAGACTCGTGTGTGTATATATATTATATATTATACACAGTCAGCTGAAGTACATGAATTATAGAAACAATAGATGCATAATATATATATATATACATATACACATAGACTATATATAGATATATGTATCATATGAATCATAGAGTAGTTATACATCTTCGACATCGATGTAACTCACGTGGAGGACTTCTCGAACTCACCAGACTGGGGTTGCTCTCAGCCGTTTTGGGGGCTTGCCCAAAATTGGCTTTGCAGGGGGAGGACTTGCGGTACTACTTGAACCTTGGATTGGCTTACTCGGCTTTCTAGGTGTTTTTCCCAGTTCCACCATGAGAAATCCCTTGATATGGGGTAATATCTCCAAGAAATATGACGCTGCCCCAGACCTTTTGCAAGAAACAATCTCAACTTCATCCACATCTTCATGACTTTTCCAAGATTCCAGGGTTCCAAGTTCAGGATTTTGAGTTTCCCTTACGGTGCCCCTGGGGAGCGTTCGTCCTTTGCCGCGCCCTTAGGAACCTTCCCCAGCTGGGCGGGCTGCGGCGAAGTCGCCAGTTGGTCCGGAGGCTGCTGAAGAAGAGCAGCCCTGCGGAGGCTGAGGTGTGGCAGGGTCCGGTGGTTGTCCCGTGATGTTCGTTGGTTGATCATGTTTATAACACCCATTGAGATCCATTGAGTATTGATATATCATAGATATTTATAGATATATCATGATAAGTACATCTACCATAAACCATAGAATTCACCGAGTTATTTGCAGACCAACTTAGCTATCGTCAGGAGGCACCACCTTGTAGGTGATATGGCCCCACCCCCCATCCATTCGCTAGTTCGAATAATATCTAGCATAAAGTCTAGTTTTTGGAGGCGGGGACGCATGGTGGTGGTGATGATGATGATGATGATGATGATGAACTGTGGTGAGTTTTTTTTTTCCGGATTCCGATGTTTGCCCGCAAAATGATGAGCAACTGTACTAATTGTACGTACAATCGTTGCAAGGAAAATATAGGGCTCATCTAAAGTGGTCACTTTTGATTAATTATGGGATAAACCAACAACACCAGGGATTATTAGCTAACCATTTTCTGGGGCAGGGATGCAATGGGATTGATATAATCACTATGAATTATAATATATTATAATCAGATATCATGGGGGATATAAGAGGAGAAAATGGGGATATAGTATGACTTAGTATGACATAGAATCAAGAGCAACATGTGGGCTTGTCAAAGTCTCCAACTCAGGGATTTACCCTCAAGTGAAAAGGCAATTTTCATGGCGATTCTTGGGGCCCTGATGAACTTTACTTGGAAGCTTCACAGGGGAAGAATTGCTCCAAACATGATTTTTGCTGGCCAACTCCCACAACAATCGCACATCGCAGAGGCTGGGAGGGTATAGAAACAAATCTTTCACAGATAATATATATATATAATCATATATATATATATGATCATATATATATAAAACCCATGATTTTTCATATTTTTCATCATTTTTTCATGGGAAAAAACCGGTTTCAAGATCCGCGGCAGGCGTGGTTGGAGCGATGTATGGGAGACGGCTTGGAGCCTGACAGGACGCTGGAGATGTTCCTGAGTTTCTAACCGAGTTTGGCGGTTGTGCGAACTGGAAGATCATCATTTCTACCCTCTGGGTATTTAACCATAATAAGAAGAGTGCAACCAAGATAAAAGTCACCATGATAATTAATGGCATAATATTGCCATAGAAAATCATAATGAAGTTAACCATAGTTTCACCAATATACTGTTTGCCATAGAAAATCACCATGCAATTAATAGCTAAACCATCTATTTCTATGGGCCATTTTCCATGGCTATGTTAAATAACCAAATGGTAAATGGGAAAATCAGCGTTTTTTCCATATAAATTGGTCACTGTCCGTAGGCCATAGCCATGTTAGCCAGAGTGTGATGGCGATATGGGAAAACCGTCGAACTCAATGGATTGAAATCATGGGGTATCCGATATATCCCAATTTTTTTCGATCGTGAATACTAAAGTGTTTTACTAAGCCATCTCTGTGGCCCCTGCTTGGTGGCTCATCCCACTTAGTGGGTTATAACCCCAGTTGTAAGTGGATTTACCCTACAAAAATCCCATGTAAATCACTGGGGTTATAACCCACGAGCCGTGGGATGAGCCACCAAGTGGGGCATGGCTCCTTCCCCATCCCCGTCACCAGGAGCTGCTTCACCCGCATCGCTACCGCCTGGTTGAGTCAGGGCGATGCACAGCGCTCAGCGCTCTGGTTCAGTCGGATGGTGGATGCAGGCGCCGAAAGGAAAGGAGACCCGTGGTGGATGGGCGAAAGGGGAGACAACATCTGGGGGAGACAACGTAACTATGAAAAATAACCATTTTTAATGGGTAAATCCACTATAAATGGCAATTTTCAATAGCTATGTTAAATTACCAGAGGGTAGATGCGCTGGAATACGTATGTATAATGTATGTATATCCAATTGAGACCCAACATTTTCCCACAGACGTTCATCTGACACAATCCTCAAGATGCTTTGAAGGTTTCCTAAGTCATGGGTGTACCCATATCAACCATGATGAACCATTACTAACCATTGGCAAACCCTCCTGAAGAATGTGTTTGATCACTGCTAGGCCACATGAAAGATGAAGATACCGCGGCTGTGCTGGCCGAGGAACTGAAGGTCAGCAATGTCAAGGGGTCAATAGGTGATTGAACTTAGGCACATTCCTATATTGATATCATTAGAATTATTATCATTACTAAATATTGTAATATAGTGTAGTCATGATTATGACTATCACTAAATTTGCGCAACATTATTGGCACGGTCATCATTCTTGTGTTTATTACTGTATTCTTATCACTATTATCATCATAAATCATCATAAAGTCACAATATGTTTGGACCAGTAAACTATTGCAAGTTTTCGACCAGGAACTGAACCAGCGATGGTTCAACCTAGCTGTGTGTTGCTTGATGGCTACAAATGGCTATAAATATGGGAATATATATATATGTAGCTGGTTAATCAAATGGTCATAGCCATAGTTATATCTGTGGATACTCTGGATATTGATGGCTTGGTTCACTGTCGATTACTGCCATTCATGGAACAACGCATTGCTGGAAATTTCATCAGCAGGCTGTGTGATTTTCCAGGATGCATCCAAGGAAACTGATGCCGGGAAACCAGAGGCCGGGCCACCAGAAGGAGTCAAGATGACTTGTGAGCATCACCAGTTAAAATGGTTTCAATGATTTTTCATCTTCCGCCCTGTTTGAGATGATTAAAGTCAAGTGACTTTCATATTAAAAAAAGCACCGTTTTCAAGCCAAATCTGGTTGCATTTTCTCTGTCATCCTTCGGTGGATGGTTGCGCAAAGGTCAAGTGGATATTTGATGGATAGCCTCTGGTTTTTTTTGGACATGGTGAAGTGGAAAATAACTACATTTTTTTCACGTAAGTACATAATCTATTTCTATGGGCCATTGAAAACAATAGCAATGTTACATTACCAGAGGGTATCTCTATAAATGGGCCATTGAAAACAATAGCAATGTTACATGACCAGAGGCTATCTGATGGATATCTGATGGATGTTTGGACCATGGACCACTTCCTTCCCTGATTTTTCTCAGGCTGAGAATGCCACCATGGTGGTGCTACGTCTGGCGCAGAGTGGTGCAGTCACAGCAGCTGGGAAACCTGGGACGTAATGAACATTGGATCAAACAATGAAAATCCACATGAACATGGTGATTAATATTGATACTTGCTCATGCTGATTATATATATATAATATAATATAATATAATATAATATAAGACATAATGATGGTGATTAATGATTAAATATTGGTTACACCCTGTTAAACTAACAGTTTGCGAACTGGGTTCAATCACCATCTTAAGAGGTGAATTATAGATGGGCCATGGCTTCCATAGCTATGTTAGTTTACCAGAGGGTAATACTGACTATATATATATATATAAGAGGTCAATACTGACTATATATATATATACTGATGGTGATCAATAGTGATCAATAGTGATCAATGGTGATCCATGGTGATTAATGGTGATTAGTGGAATTACCCGTTGGAAACCTAACACGGCAAGGAGAAATCCCTGTAAGTGGAAGTTTGCAGCTGGGAATATCATCGAACTTAACCTTTTCTTTTTTGTTGCAATGTTTGAGTACTGGAGGGTAGCACCAAACTTACATGATACTACCCTCTGGAAATTTAACATCGCCAACGAAAATGGCAATGTTAATTGGGTAAATGATCTCCCAATGGGTAATTTTCCATGGCAGATTGTTAAATGATCCAAGGGTATATACCATTCACAGGGGCCAACACCTGGCCACCGGCGGCCACGTACCAGTGATGCATCAGAGAGGTGGAAGGAAAGCTGACCCCCATGATGTGTTCGCACATAGTTTTTTTCGCCCCTGCGTTTTTTTTTTAAAGTCATTGTCTGTTTCCTTGTGAATTTCCCAAGCTATCCACCATTCTGAATTCTTGAGCAGAAAAAAACAATGCTAGTTGGGCAGCTACCCCTACAAGAGGGGCTTTTAAAGTGGTTCGGAATCTTTTTCAAATGCTTGATCTGAATAGACTCTCCTTGCAAGAGATTTGTCTCGATTCTGTTTGTTCTCTCCATTTTCCTCTTAATTTCTCATGGATTTTGATCCCGCAGAAATCATATTGTTTCGGCTCCGATCCTGAACAGGGTCACCAAACTCAAAAGATCTTTCAATTGCATATATCGCATCCATCATCAGATGGCAACAACAATTGATCTGAAGGGCCCGTAAATCCACGGCTGATCACTCTGGATCGACCTCATATTTGGTAACCCTGCCGATTTTGATGGTTATGTTAATCGCTTATGTTGATTGACACCCAATGGTTGCACCATCAAAATATTGCAGTTTACATGCTATTCTCCCGCGAAAATTCAAAAAAATATCGTAGCCTAAATTTCAGTGCTTTCTGTGGTTACATCCCCAAACAATCGCACTTTCAACGGTTCCATCCCCAGTTTTCATAGTCAAACGGAGGTTTGGTAATATTCCCATAATAGTCATAGTCCGGTTACCCCACGTCCTATAATTGTTCCATTAATATATACCATTATATTGTAATTCCCGTTTATTATCCCATTAATATACCCATTATATTCATTACCCCATAGAATATATATATATATTCCCATTGTAACCAGAGGGTGTATGAATAATCCCATAAGTAGTCCCATTAACAATCCCATTAATCCCATTAATATATCACTCATTATATACTATTCAACATGCCCTGTTAATATCCCCCCATGTTTATATATGTTAATATAATCCAATTTTTACACTAGTTATATGATAATTATCCCATTAACTATCCCATAGAATATCTATTCCAATCCCACCAATTATACACTATTCAACATACTAAGTATATACTATACCACTAATCCCATTAATTATATATTAATAATCCCATTAATAATCCCAGTAATAATCCCATTACTACTCCCCCTGTTCCATTCTTTTTCGATCCCCAGGCCTCCACGCAGCTCCTAAACGCCCTGGCGGCTTCTGAAGACGTCGACGGCCGGGCCTTTGAGGCGCTGCTGGCGGCGCTCAGCACGGCGGGCCGCGCCGAGGAAGCATCGGAGTGGTTCCGACGGATGATCGCCTGTGGCATAGAGCCAGGTGCAACGGAAGAATCTGCTGCCTTTATAAATGGAAGAATCTATCTATCTTATCTTATCTTATCTTATTTTATCTTATCTTATCTATCTTATCTTATCTCATCTTATCGCATCTATCTCATCTCATCTCATCTCATTTCATCTCATCTCATATCATCTCATCTCATCTCATCTCATCTTATCTTATCTTATCTATCTTATCTTATCTCGTCTTATCTTATCTTATCTATCTCATCTCATCTCATCTCATCTCATTTCATCTAATCTAATCTAATCTCATCTCATCTTATCTTATCTTATCTATCTTATCTCATCTCATCTCACCTAATCTCATCTCATCTTATCTGATCTTATCTTATCTATCTCATCTGATCTCATTTCATCTCATCTCATCTCATCTTTTCTTATCGTGTCTATCTTATCTTATCTCGTCTTATCTTATCTATCTCATCTCATCTCATCTCATCTCATCTCATCTTATCTCATCTTATCTTATCTCATCTTATCTTGTCTATCTCATCTCATCTCATCTCATCTTATCTGAACTTATCTTTCTTATCTATCTTATCTATCTTATCTTATCCATTTTATCTATTATATCTTGTCTTTCTAATCTCATCTATCTTATCTTATCTATCTTATCTATCATATCTTATCTATCTTATCTCATCTATCTTGTCTTATCTATCTTATCTTATCTCTCTTATCTTATCTTATCTTATCTTATCTATCTTATCTTATCTTATCTATCTTGTCTTATCTATCTTATCTTATCTTATCTTATATATCTTATCTTTTCTATCTTATATATCTTATCTTATCTATCTCATCTAATCTATCTTATCGTGTCTATCTTATCTTATCTATCTTATCCTCTCTATCTTATCTTATCTATCTCCTCTTGTCTTATCTATCTCATCTTATCTATCCCGTTGTATCTATCTTATCTTATCTATCTCATCTTATCTTATCTATCCTGTCTTATCTATCTTATCTGATCTATCTTATCTGATCTATCTTCTCTTATCTATCTTATCTTGTCTTATCTATCTCATCTTATCTTATCTATCTCATCTTATCTTTTCTATCCTGTCTTATCTATCTTATCTGATCTATCTTATCTATCTTATCTATCTTATCTTTTTTTATCTATCTTATCTTATCTTATCTATCTTATCCTATCTATCTTATCTTATCTTACCTTATCTTATCTTATCTTATCTATCTTATCTTATCTATCTAATCTTATCTTATCTAATCTATTTCATCTTATCTATCTTATCTTACCTATCTTATCTTATCTATCTTATCTTTTCTATCTTATCTATCTTATCTTATCTTATCTATCTTATCCTCTCTATCTCATCTTATCTATCTTCTCTATCTCATCTTATCTTATCTATCTTATTTTATCTTATGTTATCTTATCTATCCTTTCGTTTCTATCTTATCTTATCTTATCTTATCTATCTTGTCTTATCTTATCTATCTATCTTATCTTATCTACCTTATCTTATGTATCTTATCTTATCTGATCTATCTTATCTGATCTATCTCATCCTTTCTTTTCTATCTTATCTTATCTTATCTTTTCTTATCTATCTTGTCTTATCTATCTTATCTTATCTATCTTATATTATCTATCTTATCTTATCCATCTTATCTTATCTATCATATCTTATCTATCTTATCTTATCTATCTTATCTTATCTCTCTTATCTTATCTTATCTGTCTTATCTTATCGTATCTTATCTATATATCTATCTATTTATCTATCTATCTATTTATCTATCTATCTATCTACCTATCTATATATCTATCTATCTTTCTTATCTATCTTATCTACCTTATCTATCTTATCTATCTTATCTATCTTATCTTTCTTATCTTTCTTATCTATCTTTTCTATCTTATCTATCTTATCTATCTTATCTATCTATCTATCTATCTGTCTATCTATCTATATCTATCTATATCTATCTATATCTATCTATATCTATCCATATCTATCCATATCTATCTATATCTATCTATATCTATCTATATCTATCTATATCTATCTATATCTATCTATATCTATCTATATCTATCTATATCTATCTACATCTATCTATATCTATCTATATCTATCTATATCTATCTGTATCTATCTATATCTATCTATATCTATCTATATCTATCTATATCTATCTATATCTATCTATATCTATCTATATCTATCTATATCTATCTATATCTATCTATCTATATCTATCGATCTATCTATTCCTATCTATCTATCTATTCCTATCTATCTATTCCTATCTATCTATTCCTATCTATCTATTCCTATCTATCTATTCCTATCTATCTATTCCTATCTATCTATTCCTATCTATCTATTCCTATCTACCTATTCCTATCTACCTATTCCTATCTATCTATTCCTATCTATCTATTCCTATCTATCTATTCCTATCTATCTATTCCTATCTATCTATTCCTATCTATCTATTCCTATCTATCTATTCCTATCTATCTATTCCTATCTATCTATTCCCATCTATTCCCATCTATTCCCATCTATTCCCATCTATTCCTATCTATTCCTATCTATTCCTATCTATTCCTATCTATTCCTATCTATTCCTATCTATTCCTATCTATTCCTATCTATTCCTATCTATTCCTATCTATTCCTATCTATCTATCTATCTATCTATCTATCTATCTATCTGTATATATATATATATATACATGTTCTTAATTTCAAAGCCAGATGAGATGATCTCACGAAATATCCCAAGAGACCAGCTGTAGTGATGGCCTTTTTCGCAGGTTCCTTTTGGCTTTTTCGATGTCCCCGGGCTTTCGCGGCCAGGTGTGAAAGCCTGTTGCGCCCTGGTGGATGCCTGGGGCAGTCGAGGCGAGGCACCCAAGGCGGCGGAACTGCTGGAAGAGCTGGAGGACCTGGGGCACCCTGTCGAAGGCTTGGAGGATTTCTGGGGGATTGTGATTCAATGGTGGCAAGTAACTGCGGTGAGATACCTTCTGGTAATTTATAGTTGATTTACCTATTAAACATGGTGATTTTCCATAGTTATGTAAACGTTTACCAGAGGGTAACTTCTATAATATTATAAACCATCTATAAATTGGTCCAGTGGAGACGACTAGTCACCAGGCTTTTCTTAGGCACGAAATCGATGGGATGATCAAAAATTGGGCATCCCTCGTCCTTTGGGATGATGTAAAATTACCCCCACATGGTTGAAGGTTGGTGAATGGGGATTTTACATTTATCATTCTTTAGTGAATTATGTTCCACTATCCCATTATATCCATGTTATATCTCCAATGTTCCCAATGTTTTTTTGGGTAAAACCCCCAATGTTCAACCCACCAAGAAGTGATCTATCCCACCATAAAAACGAATGTTTTTTCAACTGAACATCTCCGTGTGGTCCAGGGATTTTTCACTGAAAAAACCGGAGGGTAATTTCACTAATTACCAGGGATTTTCCACTAATTTCACTAATGGTCCAAAATTATATCATCACCATGAATGATTATTTTGGATGGGGATATGTTTTCATCTTTTGTTTCGAACTGAAACATGAAGATGTAAAAACAGCCCAGCATTCATCATCATTTATCACCATCAACCAAGGATTCCCGTGGTACCAGCTCCCCAGCTGGTCACCACATGTCACCACTCAACCGTGGTGTAGGACAAGGGCCGGCGGCTGGACCGTTTCGCCTACACCGCGGCCGTGGCGGCCTTGGCGGACGCGGGCGACTGCGAGCGGGCTGAGGTTTGGGTGCAGTCATCGTGGAACATGTTGGCCATTCACCAAAGCCCTGGTGGGTTACCCTCTTGTAAACATACAAAAAACTATGGAAAATCACCATTTTTATTGGGAAGACTCACTATAAATGGCAATTTTTAATAGCTTTTTGTATGTTTACCAGAGGGTAAGAATTGGGTCATATTGATGAGTTTTGAACATCAAACATGAAGATTAATAACATATTATAACATGATATATATATATATATATATAAGTGAATAAGTGATAGACATGGGTAACTTTTTTGGATAATTTATAGTTTTATGTTTCTATAGTTTCTAACTATCAAAGATATGGAATGTAACTGATAAAAATCGCCTGGTTGATTGGTCATGAAAAAGGGAATTATACTACTTAAAGACAATTGGGGATTATGATAAGCCATAATTAGTAAGCAGGGACACCTATCAACCGACTAGTATTTCATGAGATGGAAAAACGAGGCATTTTCAATGGCTCAAATGGGTAACATTTGAATAGTTTCTATATATGTTACTATATTCATGTTACCATGTTTAGCAATATAGAGGAACATGGTGGGACTTGGTAAACTACAATTCTTGGTCTGGGGTGAGCGGTTTGGGTCGGTTTTCCAATCTTTGTGTAGGTTTTGGTTGGTTGTATCTGCTTTTGGATGACTTTCAGCATCTCCCCTTCCAGCCAGGTAGATTTCTCCAAAAAAAATTGAGCATTTTCTGGTCGTATTTCTCCTTGACACCTGTATTTTCCAATAGCAGTGCCTGTTTGGGTTCAATCTCTGGGTCTGGGAGTGCGTCCTTTGGTTTTCACTGGCGCAGGCCTGGCTAAACCGGGCCGTAGCGCGCGGCTACGGAGCAGATTCGGCCGTCACTTGCTACAGCGCAGCCAAGTGCTACAGCTGATCAAAACCCCTGTTGGTTGATGGTTATAGCCGGGGATATGCCGGGGATTATCCGGGGATTATACCAATATCTTGGGGATGATCATAATTCATGAATTGGAAAATCCGTTCTCAGATGGACATGTAAGAAGTTATAGGTTTTCATCAAGCTGGGCCCAGCTGGGTGCTGAGCTTTTGGGGTCGAGAGTTTGATGATTTTTTGTTCCTTTAAACTTGGCTCATCCCTGAAATCACGGGGATTCACAATTGAACCAACCCTACTTCAGTGAACCCCCCCAAAAAAGTCGTGGTGGTTGAAACTGACATCACAAAAAATGGAGCTTTCCTAGGTGGGGGTACCCCCAGTCATCCAAGTCGTCTCGGACGCCGAGGCGTACAACGCGCTGCTCAAAGGCCTGGTGCGGCAGCGGAACTTCCATTCCGCCGAGGAGCTGCTGGGGACGATGCGCATGGAGCGGCTGTTGCCGTAGCCTGGAAAACAGATGGGGGAAGTGGTCCCTGACATCTTCGATGAACACATGAGCTATGGTCAATACTCATGGTTAATAACCATTCATAGGGGCTAGTCATCCAATGGTTCAGGATGGGATTTATAATAACCATTATTTTTGGATCCTTATTATGGATGGGATGACCATCAACCATATAGTGAGTATTGACCATGGCTCACCTGGGATTTTGGATTCCTGGGATTTTTCTACGAGATTCCACCACTTTTCTGGAAGATGACTCACAAATTGACGGTTTTAGGAGGAAAAACTGGGGAGATTCCGGGAGTTTATGGAGGATTTTTCTGCCCGGCTGGGAAATATATGGATGAAATTGATATACGACCCACCATCGTTGATTTCATTGATACCACCAGTTGAAGCAGTTTTTCGTGATCGAATGAAACCAACCACCAGCTCAAATATTTATGACCAGCTGGCGAATGACGACCTTTAAAAGACACGACACCATGGTCACCATTCTGGACCCTAGCACACCTGATGTGTCAGGGACTTTTTAAATGCGTTCACTTCTGTTCAATTGTAGCAGTTTTTGCATCGTTTTTATTATCAGCTGTGTGTCGGCCATAGCCATGAAATCGGGTGTCCACTTGGTTTGAGGAATTGTGTTGCAGCTGAGTTCGAACCAAATCGACAAGCTTAGGTGCATTCCTTTCAAAAAGAAGCCACACAAGTATACTGTTGGGATTATTTTGGTATCGTTAGTTAAGCTAGACTTGCTGAAGACGATTCTCTTATTTTCCCACTGGGAAATCCACTACTTGGGGAATCTAGTGGGAATCTGTATTGAAAATAAGGGTTGGATCGCCAATCCACCATGCTTACCTTCTCCAAAGCTGAGGAATGAGATCACTTTTACCACCATCTTGGGTTCCTGGATTGCATTGATGTGCCAAGTCCATCAGAAGCCACATCCCAGAATGCAAAGATCTGCGGGAAAAGCTCACAGATTTGGAGTAAAACATAGTCTAAGCAAGAAATCCACGCGACGTGCCTAAGACGATGAGATGCAAGGAAACGAGAAAACCAGAAAACCGAGAAAACCGAGAAAACCAGAAAACCGAGAAAACCGAGAAAACCGAGAAAAGGAGAAAACCGAGAAATGCGGCCAATAGTGCTAGTCTCCTCGGCGTTTTCCTGTTCTCGCGGTTTTCGCGGTTTTCGCGGTTTTCGCGTTTTCGCGGTTTTCGCGTTTTCGCGGTTTTCACGTTTTCGCGGCTTTCAATGCTCTCGCAGTTTTCGTGGTTTTTGCGTGTTTCGCGGTTTTCGTAGTTTTCGTGTTTCGCGGTTTTCGCAGTTTTCGCGGTTTTCGAGAGTTTCGCGTTTTCGCGGTTTTCGCTGTTCTCGCAGTTTTCGCGATTTTCGTGCTTTTCGTGTTTCGCGGTTTTCGCAGTTTTCGCAGTTTTTGTTTTTTGGCTGCCTGCGCCGTTCTTGTTGTTTTCGCATTTCCGCCTTTGATATTTCCATGCCATATTATTTTCAAACAGAAATCTAAATAGAGAAGTGCCGGTTTCCTTGTCATAACAGCCATTTGCAGACTTGCAAGCACACACACACACACACTTACATTACATGTCTCTTACCTTTACATTTACAATCTATATATATAATTATATATATATACACATAATATGCGTACTACACTTACATGTTCATGTACTTGCATTTTTGTGCACACACCAACCCCTCCATCTGCTCATACATCAACAATCATCAACACATAGATACATAGATACAAAATGATACACAGATACAAAAGTGCATACATAGGCATAAAGATAGATACAAAAACATATTTCGAACACATCACAGGACACTCCCATGCAATACAATACAAAGGAGTACAGCACAATACAACACAATACAAGACAGACAATACGCTACGCCACGTTACTTTACAACACAACACATACGGACAAACACGCAGTACATTATGTTAATTTCGTTTCCTGCCCTTACCTTAGATTACCTGCATTGCATTGCATCAAACTACATTCTACTACATTACATTGCACTACAGTATATTTCACTGCATTACAATCCATTGCGTTACACTACACTGCATTGCAATGATGTAATTCCAAGGGTACTAACAGGAACGCACACATATAATTATAGGTATTTACATAGAAATATGGATGTATACATAAATACACTGATTCTAGCATAGATGCATATGCACACATGTATGGCAAACATCCTTACACACACACACACGCCAAAGATACCGAGATTCATAGACGCATAAATGCACAACATGCTATGATGTTACGCTGCATTTCATATACGTAGATCATGTGAGAATCGTACATACATCGGTACATGCATGTTTTCATTGTGTTCACCGTCCGATTCATGGCAAGGCATTCCATAATGTTCACACATAGAGACATTCATAGATACATAGAGACATACATAGATACATAGAGACATATATAGAGATATACATAGAGACATACATAGAGACATACAAAGAGACATACATAGAGACATACATAGTTACATAGAGACATACATAGCTGTACACATACAAAGATACATACAAAGATGCATCCCACTTCGTTGTGCGGCATTACATTTTGTGTTACGTGACGCCACACGACACCGCAATGCTGGATTTCACATTATACACACTCATCCATGCATCCAAACACACTCACATATATGTTGCATTACATGCATAAATGTGTATGCCCGTAAATGAATGTACATCGTATATATATATATGAATTTTATATATATACATGTATATAAATGTATAATATATATATATATGTAAAAATATATGTAATATATATATGTATAATATAAATATATATGATATATGTATATATATATATGATATACATATATATAACATGTATATATATATATATATGAAAACCATATATACATATAAGCATATGTGTGTAATATATATATATTAGTATAATATAAATATATGTAAAATAGATATATGTATAATATATATATATGTATAATATATATATATATGTAAACCATATATATATATATATGTAATATGTATATATATGTCAATGTATAATATAAATATTTGTATAATATATATTTATGTATACTATGTATAATTATGTAATATATATATATATGTAATATATATATATTGGTTGAGTTGAAATTACAAGGCATTACATCACATGCATCATATTACAACGCGCTGCGCCAGCTACATAAATAGATACAAAGATCGATGCAAAGAGACACACATGCATGCATACATACGTCCGAAACATGCATGCACACGTGCCTGCAGGCATAAAGGCAGTCCGTTAAGTTTCATTATGTTGCCACTTTTCCTTTTGCTTGCATTGCAATGCACCACCTCAATAAATACATACAAACAAACAAAGATGCCAGCATAGATGAGAACATAAATGCAGACTACATAAATATGTCCGTCGAATTTTGATTAAAACACGGATGCATAACAAGAACACTAAATACAGGTAGATTGGATAACAGAACATTAAAGGTTGGGAAGGATTCGACAAGCGATAGAGGAAATACAGATAAATAGATAGATAGATAGATAGATAGACAGATAGATAGAGAGATAGAGAGATAGAGATATAGAGAGATAGAGAGATAGAGATTTAGAGAGATAGAGAGGTACGTAGGTAGGTAGGCAGATAGATAAGGCGAAGATAGGTGATATACAGATGGACGGGCAGATAGATAGACGGCTTGGTAGATTGATCGATAGATAAACAGAGAGATGACGAGAAAGAGAGGGAGAGAGAGAGAGAGTGGGATAGATGCATGGATACACAGATACATAGATACATCAATACATAGATACGTAGCTTAGATACATAGCTTAGATACATAGCTGAGATACATAGCTTAGATACATAGCTTAGGTACATAGCTTACATAGATAGATAGATGGATGGATGGATGGATGGATGGATGGATATGATAGATCGGATAGATTAGATAAAACAGATGGACTAGATAGATAGATTACAATAGATAGATAAATTAGATAGATTAGATAGATTGGATGGACGGACGGATGGATGGATGGATGGATACGTAGGTAGGTAGCTAGCTAGCTATGGTATATAGGGCTAGAATGAAATATAGATCTATAGATACCGTAAAAAACATTCACATCACATGAACCTGCATTCCACTACTCTGTACTTGAAGTCCCAGTGCAACACAGATCAACACCGCTATTGCAGCGCAATATAATTATTTTGCATTGACGTGCCGCTAGATACGGAGATGATCATAGCTGTCCAACTTTCGCGCTCTTGTACTTCCGTGCGCGTTTTCGCGTTTTCGCGGTTTTCGCGCTTTTCGCGTTTTCGCGTTTTGCTGCCCGTTTTCGCGTTTTCGCGGTTTTCGCGGTTTTCGCGTTTTCGCGTTTTCGCGCGAAAATGCCGCGCATCACCAAAGGCCGAGACACACACATTTCCTGCACAGAACATAGTAAAACCCCAAAATTTTGAATCTCTTCCAAGACTTCCCTCAAAAACCCAGCCCTTGAATCTACCCTGCGGTGTACCCAACATGGCAACGGAAAATCCCCAATCGAAGCTGGCTGGTTTCAACGGTGGATTTTTCAGCCCAAATTTGATGACCGGAGGGTTTGTTTTTGAAGTTTTAAACCGGTAATCAAACTATATTAAAGCATATATCAAGGGCATATATATATATATATTAAAGCATATTTTTTGGTTTTGATGGATTTTGGGGTGCTGGAGCTTGATGATGCCTGATGCATGGTGGTCTCATAGACAACTCGTCAGCAGCTTTCTGGCGTGTTGTTTTTCCATGGTTTTTCCCACTGTGCAACGGAAGACGTTCCTCCGACTCGGGCTCCAGTGCGGGCTCCGGCCCGCTAAATTGTCTGAAAAAATATGGCGCAGCCCGATTGCAATGGATGAACACCTCACTTTCCTAGCGCTTTCCCCATTAAACATGGCCATGACTTGGGGGTCCCCCTCCATTTTTGGAGACAGCCAACTCTAGCGATTTCGACAATTCAGGTGGCCATGCTGAGAATGGAGATGAAGATCAGGTGAAGAAGTGGCTGGAGACGATGATGCTTGGATTGGCCGGTTTGCCAACCGGAGCCATACCGCCATACCAAGAAGTGATCTTCGTGGGTTCAGGTGTGTCAGGAGCAGAAAACATCGATCCAGGGGAGCGATCATAGCGGATTACCATGGATTTCCAGCAATCATTGGATTGGTTTAAGGGAAAATCCACAGGAAACCATGGTTTTTACCATTAAATATGGGGTTTTCCTGTAAATTTTCCCTCAAACCAACCCAGTGAAACAAAGATAGAATGTCTTTTCATTCCCAACAACCATTGGCTTACCATTCACGGTTGGAATGTCGTTACGAAAGATTACCATGGATTACCATGGATTACCAACAAACATTGAATATGATCTATAAGTAACGATCTTTCCCCAGTCACCAAAAACAAGGGCCGCGCCGAGGGAACCTGTCCATTGCTGACAGGTAGACAGCTTCTCTTTGTTGTCAACCTCTGGGATTCACTGTAGCTTTTTGTAGTCTGAGTATTCCCAAGATCTCCCATCTCGAATAATGATTTTGGCATTCTATACCACATATATATATACACAGATACCTACGCACTCTTGAGATGATTTTCCATTTTTAATTAGACGTCATAATCATACTTCATAGATCTTTCAAATTTCATCCCCGTAGATTTGGAATTTAGATAGTCATTGTTCACACACATCGATCTTTCAAACGAGTTGAAGCGGTCAAGCGCTTTCGGCCCAGGAAGGACTCACAGGTCTCGCCCAATGAGGTGACCTACGAGGCGGAACATCCATAGATCCCAGCTATTTTGATGTTAGGGGTACAGGGTTTTGACCCATCATAATGCTTTTGTTCGATTTGTCAGAGTTGTAGAGTGTTGAATTTCCTCTTTTTTTTTGTAAACCCAAAGCCATAAGCCTACCTTTTGCGCATGGTTGAAATCGCACCCATTTAGTTCGTTGAATTACCTATTCAAATAGTGATTTTCCATAGCTATTTAGTTTGAGGATAAACCCAAAGCCATAAACCATCCCCAAGTCATCACCACTTTGATGGGTCTGATTTCGACCATCACCAAACGGTAAGTTGTAGGTACCTCCAATTTAGGATCCTGGAGTTGCCATTGAGGTGATGAGTATTTTATGATCCATTTGGGTTAATGAATGACATTCCAGCTGTAGCACACGGAGCCTCAACGTCTAAATAGCGAAGAGATCCCAAGAGTAAACTCGAAGCCCTGGCATGCCAGGCTCCAGTCCAGCACATCTGGCCCATACCCAAATCAAACACCCCAGTGCTATCATCTTAATATCAATCTTTCGGATCTTCTTACACTTATTCTGGATATTTCTTGAATATTTGGAGTGTTTATTGCATCATTACCTTAATTCCACATAATTCCACAAGAGATTGGTTGATGCCAGCAACATTTTAGGATCAGAAGATATCAGACGCCTATATGGGTGGTCAAGATTTAATGCCCGGGGTATGGATCGATTGCCCAAATGGATGCTGAAAAATACGAACTATCAATGTGTCCATGGGTTTAGTAGTTCATATTTGACCCTCCGTTGTCTTCAAAGGTGGCAATCAACTTAAATCCCATACAAACTTTCCAAGACATGGAGGTTTCGTTTGGGAAAATCATATCTAAGTGGGTGATGTTCCTGCCACGTTTGATTGGAGGGTAACCACCATATAAGATCTCATGAATCACATTTAGTCACCATCTAAAAACATCTAAAAACCATGAACTCTCCGTAGTTTTGCTGATGAAAATCCACGATTTTCATCCCCTTTTCAGCACTCGTTTTCCGAGATCAGGCCATCATCGGTGGCTTATCCAAGCACAGCCTGCAGCAGGCAGAAAACTGTCACCCGTTTCGACGGGTGAGGGGAGGTGAGCTTCCAGCACTTCCAACAAACATACGTACTATATAAAACATGTGCTAAGTTTCATTCTGGTCACTGGTCACTGGTCTTGGGCTGATTTGAGCTTGTGAAATGTCATAAGTTGCCCAGATCCATCTTTGCATCCTTTTGGCTGTACAAGCAGAGAGTCTTCAATAGAGGTTATTAGCAGGTCAGAATGAGGTCGAATTTCTGCGGGCCAGTTATCCCAGTAATCTGTGACACAAGGCTCATGGATAGTCCAAGGTCAAGGAATTAATTGGGATACCTGTTTAGACCCACAAAAAGCTGGCCATTGGTAACATTGAACTCTGCATGTTGGGTGGGGGACTGCTATATAACTTGACCGCTCCCCGTATCTGAGGTCAATCTTGAATAAGTTTGATGTTTTGGGGCCTCCAAGAAAGACACAGTGTGTGGTTCATAGCCTTCAGAAATCAAGACTGCGGTTCCCTTAAAAACCTCGTGCAGCCGCAGGCAGAGGCCTGGTTTCAAAAGATGAAGACGGAACAGTTCCAGCCTCGCGTCACGACGTACAACAGGCATCAGGATAGCAGATGGGACCAGCAAGTGAAGGTTAGAAACAACGATCCAAAGGACAAGTGGTTGGTTGTTTCAAACGGTGTTTCTTATTTTCAACCCTAGACATGAAATTTATATGATCCTCAACGACGAAAGAATATATTTCAGGCGAGTTGAAACCACCGACCAGATCAAGCACAACGGAGAGATCATGTTTTTTTCTGAACAGATACAAAAATGGTACCGTCTGACACCAGGTCAACATCATTTGATCCAGTGGTTGCGAAATCCTGCACCAGTTGATAGATGTTGATAGGTGATAAACATCCCATTATCTATAGGGTTTCAACCATCCAAGGTGATGCAGGATTGTTTTCCATCCACAGTATGTCGATGTTCTTTTCTTTCTTCTGCAAGATTTGTATAATCTCATATGGAGGCTTGCCTAAAGCAGGTATGGTACCCCAAACCCTTGGGTTTCCCTATCAACAATTACTAATTTTGGCTGATTCTTGTGCCCCGCACGTTTGAAGAGAACACATCATATTCCAATCCTATGATATTCCCATTCTTGTTGCTTCCAGTAAATCATCAGTTTTGCGAATTCCCAATTTGTCCGTATGAATCCTTGATGATGTCACCATATGTCACCAGTCTTCAGGGCTTTCCGTCGTCATAGGCTGCTGGCCGGCTGCGCGCGTGCGCGGGACCTGGCCGCTGCGCAACGATGGTTGGGGGCCTAGAAGTAGATTGTCCTGTGACGTGGTTGAGCCTGCTTGCCATGCTTGCCATGTTGCGAAATCATGTTTGAGTCACAGATGAAGCTGGGTGTCTCAGTTGAGGCAAAGTGAGAAAGCGATAGATATGGTGGATTGACAGGAACTGTTCTCTCTGTTTTTCTGTCCCTCTCTCCTATGTGCGATATGTGTAGGGTAATGTGTCAAATATGGGGATCCAGACCGACCTAGAAAATTCTCCTAGATGCTGATAGGAATGATCAAACCTCGTTTTTTTGGGGTCTGACATGTTCATTAACTGTCCATCTTGGCTGCGTTTTCATGAAAAACTGGTGTTTTTTGGGGCCGCTGAACAAATCCTGTGATTTCTCGGCCCCTAAGAACGTCACCGTGCTGAGCGCACGAGGTTCAAGGAGATGGTCGCGAAGGTGAAGTCTGATGGAGTGTCCTATCGGACCATGATGGACGTGTGCGCCAAGGTGCGACAGCAGCCGTCAGGCGGAGAAGATGAGGGTAATCTGTGGCCCCCTGATTTTATGGTGAGGGTAACAACAATGATACTGGATGATGATGATGATGATGGTGGTGGTGGTGATGATGATGATGATGGTGATGGTGATGGTGGTGGTGATGGCGGTGGGGATGGTGATGGTGATGGTGGTGGTGATGATGATGATGATGATGATGGTGATGGTGATGGTGGTGGTGATGATGATGATGATGGTGATGGTGATGGTGATGGTGGTGGTGGTGGTGATGATTCTTATTAGTTATTCACTGGTGAGATTACTTTATATTTACATATTGTTTCGCTGCTGCAACCTTGGCTCAATCTAGCTTCGGTCAGCACAGGCCACAAGACTGTCCCAAAACCTGGGGCCTTAGAGAAGCCCACCAGATTTCAACTTACAGAGGAGAACCATGGAAAACCCCATGGATTTGCTGGGTTAAATTGGAAAGGTATGATCTATGGCTGAAAGTGAGGATGATTTTCGGATCATCCTTTAACAAGGACTTCCAGGCCGCAGCGGTTCCGACGTGTTCCAAGCACCCAAAAATGTCGGCATTTTCCGACACAACCGATTCTGTTTTCATGGATTTGGGGTTCTTATAAGCAAGTACTTCCAAGAGTAAGTGAGTAGGTTCCGAGCAGTTGCCTCAGATCACACGCAATGAGCGCTGACGATGTCGACTGATGCGGCGACATGTTGGGTGGCTCGCTGGCAGTGGCTCTTGTCCTGGAAGTGCAACGCCTCTGGTTTCCTGTTCCGAATTTCCGCAAACAAATCCAAATATTTATTTATGTATTATAATATATATATATATATTATACATGCTCATATATATATATATAATCATATAGATAGATAGATAGATAGATGGATAGATGGATAGATGGATAGATGGATAGATGGATAGATGGATAGATGGATAGATGGATAGATAGATGGATAGATGGATAGATGGATAGATGGATAGATGAATAGATGGATAGATGGATAGATGGATAGATGGATAGATGGATAGATGGATAGATGGATAGATGGATAGATGGATAGATGGATAGATGGATAGACGGATAATGGATAGATGGATAGATGGTTAGATGGATAGATGGATAGATGGATAGATGGATAGATGGATAGATGGATAGATGGATAGGATAGGATAGGATAGGATAAGATAAGATAAGATAGATAGATGGATAGGAGAGGATAAGATAAGATAAGATAGATAGGATAGGATAGGATAGGATAGGCTAAGATAGATAGATAGATAGATAGATAGATAGATAGATAGATAGATAGATAGATAGATAGGTAGGTGGATAGATAGATAGATAGATAGATAGATAGATAGATAGATAGATAGATAGATAGATATGAGGAATCCAAGAATTGTAAGGTTCTCGAACTGGGACGAGATAGTCTTCGCGGGTCCTTGTCATGGGGGACCTGGGCTAGCTGAAATCGATTTCAGCTGGATTCATGGTGGACTGGATCCATGGAGAAATCATTTCTATCTTTAAGGCAACATTTTTTAAGATGAAGAGGAACTAGAGATGTACTGTAGATCCTAGTTTTTTTTTTTTCGGTACATGAGCCGCCCGCTGGTTGAAAGGTGTGATTTCCAGCCATTCCAACCATCTTCAGAAATGGGTGTGTGTGTCTCGGAAATGGACCATCCTAGAGAGTGATGAAGGAGGGGTTCCAGCCATTCCATGGCAATAGACTCAAACAGGAACATCACTGATTTGTAGATCTTTGATGATATTTGATGATATTGATATTTGTAATAGATGATATACGCATTGAAAGTGGTGATTTTCCATAACTAGATCGTTTGTTATGATGATGAACCATCCATTTTTTGGCTGGGGTAACAGGTAACATAAAGCAACAACCATCCGGTTTTCGATGATACCCCAGAATTCCATAGAATTCCCAGTTTTCCAAGGTATTCTCTCTGAATCTCCATGGTTTTTTCCCAGTGTCCCCCACGCCGTTGCCGTGCTTCGCCGTTGCGGAGGCACTCACTTCCTGGCACTGGCAGCTGTTGGCCATGGCGCTAGCCATGGCCACGGCTCGGAGATCGAACTGGAGAGGATGGCCTTAGGATTCATCCACATGTGATATGGCCGGGAAAATGGTGGGAAAATGATGGGAAATTTGGGGATGAATCAATACCTACAAGTACCATATTTTAGTGGGATGAACATCCATAAATCCCAGCTATTTTGATGTGAACAGAAGGGGTACAAGGTTTTGATGGGATTTTTGGCTATGGATCAACTCTGCAAAGTGGGGCCCCCGTTTACCAAAAAACGATAGCGTTCAGTTGGGGTTTTTAGATAACTCCAATGTCACGAACTGGTTTATGGTACCTATAACGAACTAGTATTCATGGGGTTTATAAACCATCTAACATCACTGGGGGCCCCCACATTCTGGGAGTCTGAGTTTTGAAGTAGATTGACTGCTGGGTTTATGGTAGATTTATAATAGACATATAGTAATATAGATGTAGAGTTGGATAGGTTATAAACCAACTTTGAAGTACGTGAGTTTATGGGGAATCCAGAGCCCCCCAAAAATCGTCGCGAAACGCGAAGAATCGATGGTTAAGCTTCGCTCCGTTACCGACCTGGACGGATGGTCGAATCCGCATACCGGGGCTGATCCTCTAGATATCTCTAGATATGTGGAAATGTCTGGCTTGAACACATAAACCCCCAAGTTTTCACAGACAATTGAGGGAATATTCCACCAATACTGGATGATGGACAGGGATTGGTCCTGCTATGAGAAAGTTCGGGAGAAAACCAGCACGCCAGGGTTTTGTCACCATACTAGGAGCTCCATTACAAAGTTTTTCTGAGCAGTTCATGGGTCAAAATTGGGCTGTTCCATGCTGTTCCCCTTGAAGTGCTGACTCACTTTTTCGGGCCGAACATCAAAGGTGTGCAGGTCCTAACCTTACCCAACTTTGAGAAAGGGAACGTTGAATTATCATTCCCATCTGCTGCTCTATGTATGGAATATTTACCAACATTTTAGCCATAAAATGGTTGGTACATGTTGGTAAATCTTCTATACATGAAGCATATGGGATTAGATAATCCAGACATGTTTCAAAATCCTGACCCGGACGAAACATCCCTCTTACATCATGATGGCCTGGAATAGACGCAGGAATCTTTTCGGCAGCGCCATAAAAAAAGTCACCATCAACTCATCAGTAATTGTCCACAAACCATTCATCACCAAGAACCACCATGAATCATCACCATCAATAATTAATCACCATTATGAAACCATTCATCACTAGTAATCACTAGTCATCACGTTCTGAATCTCTATTCATCACTAGTAATCTTTATTAATCACCATGAATCAGCGTTCATCACTTGTAATCACCATCATTAGACCATTATGACACCATGAAAATCACCAGAACAGTTCCTGGGCTCCACCATCGCTCCACCACCGGCCGGCTTTTTTAAGGTACACCGCAGCTGGTAGCTCTGAGCCTAAGATCGAGTCAGCCATATGATGGGGGGGTACCCCCAATAGCTGGATGGTTTATACCCTCTGGTAATTTAACGTAGCTATTGAAAATGGTGATTTATAGTGGATTTTCCCACTGAAATTGGTGATTTTCCATAGTTATGTTAAATAACCAGAGGGTAATGGAACATCCTATTAAAGTGGCTCGCTGCAACCCCTAGGTTTGCCCGCGGCCACTCCCGCATATCCTTTGACATACTCAAATCCCTGCGCAGGGTTTAAGTCTTTTACTTTCCAAAACAACAAATACCAAAACCCTAAAACCCTAAACCCTAAATTAAAACCCTGAATCCTGAAAACTTAAAGTCAAAATCACTGCGTATAGCCAGTGTTTTCATTCATCCTCTGGTGATAAGATGTGATAAGTATATCATAGTATATCATATTGTTTGGATATGTTGTTTGAGTGTGGGCAAACCAGGGGGTTGCAGGGATTTTTTTTTATTTCATGGAAAGTCCCAATCTAAATGGAGAATACATGGGGTACCCCCATGACTTGGGAAACCAGTAGCGATTGCATGTTAAGCATCCAACTTGTTGTGAATCGATTTTGCATGATTTTGCTCCTTTTGCATATGCTCGAATGCTGGGGTGCTTAATGGAGGGGATGGCTTCACACACGTGTTTTCCACGTGTAGAATTTCAGCAGCTCGCCCACCCTTTGTCGAACTGTGAGTGCCAGATCTCTCCCATATCCATTGCGGTGTACATCCACCGCAACATTACAATTGGAACCTGAAGGTGAAACATGGGTATGGATCAATACCTATTAATACAATTTTTAGGGGAATGAACATCCATTTACCAGCTATTTTTATGTTCACCAGGGGTACAAGGTTTTGACACACTGCCACATCGGCAAATACTAAAGGGAACACCACCTCCCCATCGCTCATGTTTTTGGCAACTCCAACACTGCGGGTAAGTCAAGAAATAGGTAAATAGGTCACGGTAAAGAACAGCTACATGAGCAAAGTTCCGCAAGTCAAGTGAAGTAAAGTCAAGTAAACACTTAAGTCAAGAAAAGTCAAGTAGATAAATGATTCTTAGTGGTAAAAAAATCAGGAGGTACTCCCCATTTTTTTAAGGATCGGATGTAAATTCAGTGCCCAAGCACCGCCCCCGAGGAAGATGTGCTGCACTGGCGTCCCAAGCGTCTGCCCGACGGACGGCGCGAGGAGTACAGCGTGGGGGATGGCTACTGCCTGATGAGGAGATGGTGGGGTGAACGATGGCCCCTTTAAGGTGTCAAATTTTGGCGGAAATTCCTGAACTGGCCATGGAGGTTTATAGCTGGGGAAAGCATCCGTGAGGGATTTTCCATTACCATCAATGGGCATTTCAGGATCCTAAAATGGAGGTACTGTACCATATAAGCCCATATTTTGAGTGTATATCCCCTTACATAGGCCTTATATAGGCCTTATATATGGTAGGTACCTCCAATTTAGGATCCTGGAATGGCCATTGATACCATGTTTGATTGCCGGATGAGTACTCCAACATGCTCCAAGCCATCGGTAAATGACAGCCACAAAAGGCAGGACACGAATCGGTGATTTGATCTCTGAAGTTTGGTCAATTTTACCCTGAGGGGCATCCAAAGAACATGAACAAAATAGCTTTGGTTGGTTATGGAAGAGGAAGTTGTATTACCCAGTTCATTTGCGATTGTGACATAACCCACACTGGGAATAAGCCAATCATACATGGGATTTATAACCCAGGAATCTGGACTCACGATCACCAGGGTAAAACAAACAGTTGCTAAAAGATTCGTAAGTTGGTTTAATCAACCCAGTGTTTTTTTGGTATCCGACTTTCATGTGGCTGATTTGTTTGGTTACTCCAAACTCCAAACCATGTTTAATACATAGCCTGACCCACAAAGCGCTGGTAGAATTTAGTATTCAGATGATCTTTGATGCCTGTTCCATCGCGAAGGGGGTCAAACATCAAGTACAAGGTGGTGGTGGCCCCCCAAGTTATGTTTGTTGGTTAAAAAACTCCCAGTAGTTCGACATATCTACCATAAACCCAAGGAAAAAAAGGAGTTCGTTCAAGCAACTCGCTGTTTGGAGGATCATCCTAGTCCCCGATTCCTACAGGATGGAGCCCCCAAGATATGGCAAGTTGCCGAAGCTAAGTGGCTGCATTCGGTTTATGGATGTTTATGGTAGATATAACTATAGTGTTCATGGGGTTTATAAACCAACATTCACATAACTGGGGGTTACCCCATCCTTTTCGGGCTATTTTGATATATATTTTTGGGTTGTGGATTAGAAAGGCCCACTTACCATGGGACCATTGGCTGATCCTCCAAGGAATTTTGGGGCAGCACCATGGGGTGGGAAGCTTTTGGAAGGACCTCCAATCAGCAACGCCTAGAGCAGATGGGCCTAGTGGACGAGGAGGAACTTCGACGCTTAGCCAAGGGGCCGCCTGCGACTTGGCTGGTTTACTTGGCCGGTTTTTGGATGCTTTAGACCTAAAACACGTGGGTTTACACATCGAAAAGTGGGGGGAATGTATTGGTTAACCAGTTAACTCAGTTAACTTAACTATCAAACACTTGGGTTTATTCATCAAACACAGGGATTAGATTCAAGAGATGAAACCTTGGGGGGCTTGTCCCTGAAGGAAAAAAATGGCGAGGAATCCACCACCGAAAGTGGACAAAAATTGGGCAGCGGACATGGCTGCCAAACTTTTGAGGTCCACATAGAATTATGGCCTTGTTACATATTGTCACTTTTGTTGTATCTTTTCATTTCGTTTTTTTGTTTGTGGGGAAACATGGGAAACTCGAACCATGGTTGCCGACGGTCGACGGAGGTATGGCTGGTTTCTTCGAATTGTCGCGTCAGAAGCTTGGGCCCTGTGAATCCGCAGCTCTGGCGCGATCGGCAGAATAGGACTGAGCCGCCAGGGGTGGGCCGCCCTTGACATCAGGGGTCCCACCCATGACTGGGGAATGGTGGCTTCAATGAAAGAAATATAAAGAAATGTGGGATGAACGGTGCCAGATCTTGGATTTTGGTTCGGATTTTCACAAGACCCGTTGGAAGTGATAGAGCGAAAGCTTGCCGTTGGAATGCCACTGGTTGTTTGATAGTGATTGTTCCGGCACTTTGCCAATGTGTTTCCTCGACACTGACACCCGCAGCATTCGCTTGTGCTCCAAGAAACGGCCCGGATGACGACAGGGTTGGGGTTTTAAGGCCTTGGATGGCCGAGGTACATCAAAATGCGGTCCTGGCAGGACGCCATCCATGCATGGCTGGCCAGTGAAGGTCCAACTTTTCCATTGCCCCAAGCGTGTGCCTGTGGCATTTCTCACGGCTCCTTGGCGACGTCGGGCGGATGGGTGCCAATGGGACCAGTATGGACCAGTGGAATTGGGGGATACATCCGTTTAACAACCAACGATTTGGGTGCAAAGACAAGATCCTTCTACCAGGCTTTTCATGTTCATATTGCAGTCCATGAGTTTAAGATGCTTCCATCTGTAGATAGGAAATCTCGGCCAGTTTCTCTGTCCCTTCAACCGCGTTTGGGGGTATCTAGTAGGAATCCCTGTAATCATGAGGGTATCACTCAAGACGTCTACAAGGAGAGTATTGGTGAGGGGTGACTGCCATCCGGCGTGCCCGGCCATTTTTGTTCCATCGCAGGGTCCATTTTCTTTTGGCCTTGGTGTCCTTTCCATGTGCTCCAGGCCTCACAAGCTCCATCTACAAACCTCCTATACCCCATGGATTTCCAGGTCCCTGCTGTTGAGGTACCAAAGTGTGGTACCACCTCCACCATCAATTGGGTCTTGCAGATGGAAGGCTGGCTGTAGACTTTGAAGGTTGTTCGTTGAAGAGTTGACACAAATACCATCTGGTGATTTAACACAGCTATGGAAAATGACCTATTTATAGCTGATTTGTGATGATTTGGCGATTTTCCATGGCTACGCTAAATAAGCAAAGGGTAATAAACTGATGGCATCCTTTTCAGACCCGCAAATTTGTGGCCCTGCGATATGCCATTGAGAAGTACAGTCAATAAGCCAGAACGCTGCGACGTCCCGCAGAATGCATCCTTTGTTGTCACAGTGTTTGGAACTTTCCTCCAACCTTGCTGGTGGTTTCATCTTCAACGCCCTGCTCTATTTCAGCAGAAGGATGAATAACTGGTTGGTGGTGTGGAATATTTTTTTATGACTTTCCATATATTGGGAATGTCATCATCCCAACTGACGAACTCATATTTTTCAGAGGGGTAGGTTGAAACCACCAACCAGACTTGGCTTTCATAGCTGGTATTTTGTGTGGCCCATGGAGTTGGAGGCCAAGAACAACTTCGTAGCCTTGAACGAAGCGGCAAGGCCTTTCTACATCATCAAGGCTGGACACGAAAACGGCAACGCGGGCATCTTCTGCGTCCCGTGCCCCATGGACGCTGACCCAACTAGGCCCATGTGGGAAGATCTACTGTAAGTCTAAGTACATCTAAGTACTCTTTGAGTGCATCTAGAAACGAATGATTGATGATCAATGTGTATCACTTATTATCACTTCAGGTATTACGAATTATTGATGATCTGTATTAACTTCAGGTATTGTACTCTTAAATGACCAGCCAGCCATGGTAACTTAATCATCGACGTTCGTCCGGTCCAGGTCCGGGGCAGCTGGCGGACTTGGTGAAGGGAGAACTGGAATCCGCGGCATCCCAGGGAACCATCCCGTAGCTGGGAGCGGTTGATCCAGTGATTAATCACCTGGTGGTGACTGGAACATTGGTTTAGATTGGTGAAATGTATGGGATAATGATGGTTACTAATGGTTAATGATGGTTAATGATGGTTACTAATGGTTAATGATGGTTAATGATGGTTAATAATCACTGGTTGGTGGTGGGAACCATGGAATGGATGATGGAATTTTATGACTTTCGATTTTTTCTACTGGAATTTCATAACGCTGACGAAGTCCATGATTTTTTAGAGGGGTTGGTATACCACCAACCAGACAACATATTGGTGGTTGGTGGTATCACTTTGGATTGTTTTTTTCTAAAACATCGGTGCTTGGTGATTTCATTTTTGTTTATCCCTATGTACGATCAAGATCCGAAAATGACAAGCATGTTTTTCTGATTCATGATTTCAAAGAAAGGAATCCCTATGTTGACCTGGTACATCTTGGTAGAGGTTTTGCGGCTGCTCACATGTGGTGCAAAGAATCTCAGGAATGAGAAACTGATGGACAAGGACTTTGCAAGTCTGGTGATGCAACTTGATTTGAGTTGAGAGTCCACCCATCTTGGGGCGGACAAAGTTCGCAAGAATGTTCACTATAGGAACCCTGAAAAACGCTAGAACAGGCTTGATTTCTATCTATTTAAGTAGGCGGTTCATGGATTTTAAATCCATCTGGGGGTTTGCTACATATATAATATATAATATATTTATATAAAATATAATATATCTACTATATATATAATAATATACATATATTTAATATCTATTATATCTATATATATATAATATATGTATATATATAATATTTATAGTATATATATATAAATCTCATTCGTAATCTTAGAGGATAGAACAACTCATGTGGTAGGACCAGGAACATGCCAGCTGTGACGTTGACGTGCACGCGAAGCAATGTAATTATATGCAATGTGTGGTAGGATACTCCAAGTCCAACTCAATGTAATTATATATATGTGTATAAATATGTATATATATATATGATATACATATATATATATGTGTATAAATATGTATAAAATATATGTAGCGGTAGCGATGTACTTTGAATGATTTCCCAATTCTTATTGATGATTGATCTGTTCAAGATGATTTTCCCAAAGCATCTTGTTCGGATCATTCGAAACCAGCCAGGTTTCGAGCGTTGCATCGCTACAAGCCTGGCTTAGCCACTGGGCTGATGGTCCCAGCGTGGAAAAAATAAGGGACCAATGGAGCCATGAAATGATGAACCTTTTATCATATGGATACATATTACATTGGTATTTTTTAATGATATGTATATATGGGTATGGGTCAATACCTATAGATACATTTTTAGTGAGATGAACATCCATTTACCAGCTATTTTGGGGTTCACTAGGTACCAGGGTTTTGACCCATCCCCATATATATATATTATAATATATGTGTATATATATATATATCTTACATAGATATTTATATGATGATCATTACCATCTAAATTTAGTAATTTCATTTAACTACCATATAGCCTTCTGGAAACCTTAAAAAATGCGGAAAACCCACCAGTGGATCATATCCCAAAAACAGGTTTCTCCATGGGCTTTCCACATGTGTCTGGTCAAACGTTAAAAAAAAACGGGTAGCCTCCAGTAAACCAACAAACATAGCTACAGAAAATAGCCCATCTATAAATGTATCTAAAAAAAAATGACCCATTGAACACAATGATTTCCCACCATGTGGGTAAAACAACAATAAACCAACCCCCAGTCATCACCATTTTTATAGGTGGTATGTTTACCATTCCCAGTCATGGGTGGTTTATGGCATGATTTTTCCCACATTTGCGATGTCCTGGAAAAATAATGTGGGACAGTATCAAAAAACATATGGTTAGTATATGTTAATATTATGTTTTTTTTTCTCCCCCACATTAGTTAAGGTAGTTTAGTAGAGGGTAAGTATCAAATTCCCCCGCCGAGGAGAGCTATGATGCCACAGTGACTGTGGAACGCGAGTTTTTACCGCCAGCCAATTTGTGCCCGCTCTTCGTCATGGAATGGATGAGCTGTTTTTTGTAGCTCAAGAAATGAGATCCCAAAAATAATGTATACCACTATTTTACTAGGATTTACTTTTCGATCTTTTTGGGGTTGCTATAGAGGTTCCCAAACAATCAGACATATATATATTATATATATATGTATATGTATGTATATATATATATATCACATGATAGGACGTTGTTCCCGTCCATTTTCAGTGTGATTTCCACAACTGGAGCTTCTGAGCGGACCCGCTCATTGTTTTCATCAAACGTCTGAGGGAAGGTCATCATAATGCGGAATCATTCTCGTGTGAGCAGTGGCTGCTAAACCCTTGTTGCTTGATTATTCTAGGGGATTCTACTAACCATAATTATTTGGGATTATCATAATCCCCCCAAAAATTCTGGATTTAGAGACTGCCATTACTAAAACCTATTCATATTACTGGATCATTCTAGGGGAATTCCTATAACCCTCCAAAAAAAGTGCGCATCCATGGGATTCCATCGCATCCATGGAAGCAGGAGGTATAAGCCACACGGCCATTCCCCTTCTCCTCCCCTGGAAAAAGCGCTTTGATTGTTGGGAACATGCCAATGTTGGTTGCTACCATGGTTGGTTGAATATGCATATGTAATCATATGTAATCATATGTAATCAAATGTAATCATATGTAATCATATGTATAATATATAGTATATATCACCCTTTTGCAAGCAAGCATACTAGATTGTTTCCATCTTTAGTAGTCAACTCATAGCCCCGTTTGATTCCCTTGAGGCTGTGCTGCATACATGGCTGGCAGCGGCAACGGGTGGTACTGGCCAGGAACCCTTTCGTGAGGCGAATGGCATGTGGGGAAGCCGCTTTCTTCTAATATGTGAATATGGCAATAGTAAGCAATAGTTCTGTTTTCGGGATTTGTTGTAATTTTCCAAGAATGTCATGACACACGCCAGACATGGGCTAAGTTTGAGATCATATCGAATCTCCTACCAGAAGACCACCAGGGTTGAACAAAATAGCAGGAGTTGTCGGGTGTGTTTGGGGCAGCGATGTTGTTTCACAGCCACATTTGGCTACCAGGATGGGATCAGAACGCTTATCTATGGAGAGAGAGAACTGGAGGCATAGCTGGCTACTTAGATTGTTTCCCCAAGATTACTGGGTCATATGCTCACAACGTAGTCAAAGAAGGGAAGGTAAACTGGTCAGATGGGAGTAAAACATTAGTAAGCACACTGGCTATCTCGTTTTTTTTTTTCCGGGTCCAGGTGATTTTTTCCTTTCTTCCATCCTGGATGGCTTGTCGGACTTGTCTCACTATCCCTCCTTTTTCATTTCATCCGTGGCAGGCTGATGTCCTACTTCCGCTTTGTCTGGTTGAACAACCCAAACTGGGGCGACCACAAGTGGAGCCCCGGCAGTTTTTTTTTTGGCGATGGGCGGATGTAGTAACCCCAAAAAAACCATCACAAACGTGATGACACGTGTTTAACCAGGATGGTATAAATGACATTTATCTCATATTTATCTCATATTTCCAGGTTGGAAACAACTTGTCTAACTTTTCTAGATGGCTATACGAATGAAATCTAAAGAAGGTGATTTAGCTTCACTGGTTGCGACTTTTTGTTGAACATCCCCTATGCCAAGGACAGGCTGGGCCGGCTTCTCTGACTACTATCAGTGGCTTGGTGGCCATCTTCCACCCTCTGTGTATAGAAGAATCCAAGCTGGTCGAAAATCGACAGGAATCCCCCATGACTTGAAGGCAAAACCGCGGGCTTCCTGTGTTTTTGTTGGTCCCTTTTGTCGCCCACGACGCGTTGGTCCCTTCCACGACGCGTTCACCAAAAAAAGGTTCGTGCTGCAAATGCGCGATTCGAAGCCTGGACTCTTTGCCAATGGTTTCATGGCTGCAATGGGAACCACTTGGGGGTTCCCAAGGGGTACACGATCCATAACTGGTTTTTCCAATCCATAATATTTTTCTCGGGGGTTCCACTTGGAAGGTTGGGACAACAATCAAAAGACGGATCCTGGTTGGTGGTTTCAAACATGACTTTTATTTTCCATAATACATGGATATGTGTGGGATATCATCCTTCCCATTGACGAACTCCATCATTTTTCAAGATGGTTGAAACCACCAACCAGGACGGATCTGTAGGAGGCAGCTTTCAGGAGTTGACTTCTTAAGCATGGATGCATAGTTGAGCCTTCAAGCCTTCCCAGGCTTGGACTGGGTGTGGTAGCCCGGAACAGTCGCAGACAAAGCTGGTGAGTTTTGGATGTTTTTTTTGAGTAACCACTGTAACCACCAAACAGATCAGGCGAAAGTATACTAAAGTTACCACTGGATTTTTTTAGGATTTTGCTTTTCGGCAGTTTTTTGGTTGCTATAAGGGTTCAAGATGAGGTTTTCCAAAGGAATGGCGGGTTTTTCCAAGTTATGATCCAAGTTATTGGCGGTATTGGTCCTGAATGGGGGAACCTATGGTTTCGGGGTACCGGAAGGTCAGGAAACACTCATTTCAGTCAAGGATCAATGTGGAATTCTTGGGGATGATGGTTCCTAGAATTTCTAGTGATTTTGGGGATGATTTATGATTTATCTGGGTAAATTATAACGACCTCACTGTTCTCCCTCACTGGAATCATAGTTAATAAGGGAAATCATCCCCAAATGAAGGTGAAAGGCCTTAATTCAGGTTAGTGAAATATTATAATTTACCCAGATCAATGTGGAATTCAAGTTTGCATCCCCCTTGACTGTGAGTAGAACAGCCTGAAGGCTGGTGATCTGGAAACATGTCATTGCTGATGTCCTGATTTTGTTTGCTTTTAGAAGCACCTCAAACTACTCAGCTTGGAAAGATGCATGGGTTTGTCATGGTTTGTCCGAAAACAGAGTATCCCTAATTCGTCACCAATTTTCCCCATTATGAATTGCCATGTGGGGGGTCTACCCCATTCTCACACCCAACATGGATTGAAAATGCTGGACAAGGAGGTTCTGGAGAAAATGGAGTTGTCTCTCAACCCCATTCCATGGTTTAAACCTCCTTGTCCCCATTTCCTGCCCCAGAATCTATATATGTATAATATATATATAAGTGTAACTTCCACATTTTGAGACAACTCCAAATCATATTGTTGGTTATCGTTCTATTTAATATACAAATATATCATATCCATTAGAATAAGAATTCTACTCCTACTGTATCGCCATGCATAAGAAGGTTGGTTTCATACCTTCCCTTTTCAAGCGTAAATCCCACTGACTGAGTCTCCCAAGGGTCCACAGTTTATTCCGCCCGAACCCTTCAGAAACCGCCTAGACCAAGGTGCCGGAATCGGTCAACAAGTGCAAGCAGGCAAGGGCCAGGGTGGCAATTGGATCTGGCTGCGTCTGAGACTTGGGTATATCCCAAAAACATGGAATGATAATAGGGAAGATGATGATTAACGATAGGATTTTTTTGTACCCCATTTTTTCAGACAAACCCAATTGAATTCCTCCAAAAAAGATCAAACAAGACAGAACGAGGGAAGCAATTTCTTAATTATTATTTTTGATGGTGCTTTGCTCTTACATTCTTTTGGGGATATTAGTTCACAAGGGCTCGAATGCCAAACCTTTCTAACCTTTTTTTGGAAGGTGGCATGGGATTCTCAATGTGGGGGCTTCGAAAAGACATGCCTAAACTCCAGTGATTGTTCGCCTCAGAAAAGAATCTCTGATTAGAACCACTTTCCATCACTTCCAGATGTGCGGGGCCGCCTCCAAAACACGTGATGGGAGGACATTCTACTTGGACGACCTTATCGGGCATTAGATGGGGGGGTAGATACAACTGGTTGGTAAATCAGAAAAAATGGGATGGATGTTGGTAAACCCAAGAATACGAGTGCCATTCTTCATTGCTTCTATTACACATAAAAATAGGTCTGGTGAAGTTGGGGATGGTGTTTGCCTAACTTTCCGGGTTGTTTCATGTTCTTTCCAATTTTTTCCAAGCAGCTTTGCTGTTGGGGATACCACCTGGGTTTATTTTGTTGGGCTCGTCGTCCCAGCAACTGGAGATGCACACTCTCTAGGAGAACGACGGGAAGTTGGAAGGCACGGCTCTCCATCCTTGGATCTGTCCGGTCTCTCAGGCGGCCAAGGAGCCGGGCTTTAGCAGAACCCGGCTTCATCGACGCATTGAAATATTATGAAACCTTGGAAATTATGTGTAATTATTGTATAATTGTATACTGTAATATATGATTTTTATATGATTAATTATATATATATAATAATATTATATAATTTATATATATATATATGATTGTGTATAGAATATTATAGAATCATATAATACATGATACATGTATATATATATATATAGATGTTTACATATTGTAGTCAAAACTACTATTGTACATACAACTGAGAGTATATACCCTGGCGTTGTCAATATGTGTAACTGTTTTGGGGCACTAATTGTTGCCATGGCAACTTGGTTGCCTTTGTCGGGTGTGTTTCAGGGGTAATTGGATCATCTCACCAGCCCTAAAACCGGGCAATGGCAGCCGGCTACAGCTGTGGTCATTTCTGAAGTGTCGCCGAGATTCTCGCCGGAACCCATAGGAAAACATTGCCCAGACAATCCCAATTGACATCTGATTCATCCACTTAAGATCTATCTCCGGAGAGGATCGTTTGCCATTTCCAATCAAATCATTTAACATATGGAGGCTTCCTGAAAAAGGGGCTACCCCCTAAATCATCCATTTTTATTTGGGATTTTCCATAACCAACCAGCTATTTGGGATATCTTTCCAAAGCCCCAATTTCTTGTAATTGTTTCATTTCTACAGTGTTTTATGAGTACGTTCCATATCCGATATGATATATATATATATGACATGTATATATATATATGATATGTACATATATATATATATACATATATATATGATATGTACACATATATATATGATATGTATATATATACACGATATATATATATATATATGATATTTATATATATGATATTTATATATATATATATGATATATATATATATGATCTCCAAGCTTTTGGATCTTTTCGGTCTGGTGTGGCGAGGTAAAACGACCTACTACACCTTATCCGCCTATGATATCTTCCACCTTCGTCCAGTGAGTGTCGAATCCTCAGCGGGTTTCTCAAGGGACCATGGGGATATCTTACATAGCTATGGAAGCCATGACCCATTTAGAGATGATAAACCTGTTTAAAGTGATGATTTTCCATGGCTATGGTAGATAACCAAAGGGTATAATATATATATATATATATATGAGATATGAGATATGTATCATCTATAGCAAGCCTCCAAAAGATGCAGAAAGACAATTCTGACTGAAATAGTGCTAGACTACTTTTCCATTTTTTAGGGGGGGGTTAGGAAAACATCGTTTAGCACCTCAGCCCCGTTGTGGGACCCTCCCAGGACATGGTGTCGGATGAACGCTTTCTGGCCGGTCCAGCTGCTATGGAAGACATTCTGGTACCTTGGCGGAATTGGATGGGAAAATTATGGGAAACTGCCTGGTCTGAGCATCTATAAAAAAAGGGATTGAAGGCAACGTATTTTTTTGGGCAGCAAAATTGGGGGATTGAGGCAACTTTCGATGAAATCTTAAGATTTATTCCCCACCTGCCAGGTGAGGGTTGTTAGATTTTATGTCAGTTGCCTCCTCCTGCCTCCTGCCTCGTCCTCCTCCTCCTCTCCTCCTCGTCCTCCTTGTCATCCTTGTCGTCCTTGTCGTCCTCGTCGTCCTCGTCGTCCTCGTCGTCCTTGATCAACTGCGACCCGCGATCCAGTGTTCTCTGCCGGACCTCAACCACGACCATCCACGCCCAGTGTTCCCTGCCGGACCTCAACCACGACCATCCACGCCCAGTGTTCCCTGCCGGACCTCAACCGCGAGTATCCACGCCAAGTGTTCCCTGCCGGACCTCATGTCGGAAGATATGGGACAAAGAATGTGCAGAAGAAAGTTAGAAAGAATGTCAGAAAGAATGTCAGAAGATATGCCAGAAGATATGCCAGATAGAATGCCAAATAGAATGCCAGATAGAATGCCAGAAGATATGTCAGAATATATGCCAGAAGATATGCCAGATAGAATGCCAGAAGATATGTCAGATAGATGCCAGAAGATATGCCAGATAGAATGCCAGAAGATGCCAGATAGAATGCCAGAAGATGCCAGAATGCCAGATAGAATGCCAGATAGAATGCCAGAAGATTTGCCAGATAGAATGCCAGAAGATATGCCAGAAGATATGCCAGATAGATATGCCAGAAGATATGCCAGAAGATATGTCAGAATATATGCCAGAAGATATGCCAGATAGAATGCCAGAAGATGCCAGATAGAATGCCAGCCAGAAGATATGCCAGATAGAATGCCAGAAGATATGCCAGATAGAATGCCAGAAGATTTGCCAGATAGAATGCCAGATATGATATGCCAGAAGATATGCCAGATAGAATGCCCAGAAGATATGTCAGAAGATATCAGATGCCAGAATGCCAATATATGCCAGATATGCCATGCCAGAATAGATATGCCAGAAGATATGTCAGATAGAATGCCAGAAGATATGCCAGATAGAATGCCAGATGCCAGATAGAATGCCAGAAGATATGCCAGATATGCCAGAAGATGCCAGATAGAATGCCAGATAGAATGCCAGAAGATATGTCAGAATATATGCCAGAAGATATGCCAGATAGAATGCCAGAAGATATGTCAGATAGAATGCCAGAAGATATGCCAGATAGAATGCCAGAAGATTTGCCAGATAGAATGCCAGAGATATGTCAGAATATATGCCAGAAGATATGCCAGATAGAATGCCAGATAGAATGCCAGAAGATATGTCAGAATATATGCCAGAAGATATGCCAGATATGCCAGATAGAATGCCAGAAGATATGTCAGATAGAATGCCAGAAGATATGCCAGATAGAATGCCAGAAGATTTGCCAGATAGAATGCCAGAAGATATGCCAGAAGATATGCCAGATCATATGCCAGAAGATATGCCAGATAGAATGCCAAATAGAATGTCAGAAGATATGTCAGATAGAATGCCAGAAGATTTGCCAGCAAGAAAATGTATAAATGTCATGGTGGGGATCACACGAAGTAAAGTAATTCAAAGATCCATTTTTTGGAGGGTCAACCACTTTTTGGCACTACAAGATGATTCGCCATGCTCCGCAGCCCAGTCCCTGACTTTTGCATGATGAATCTGCCAAGATATCCAAATATTGTAGCCATCTTGATTCTTGGTACCTTTTTTTCCCCCTGAAGTTTTTTTTTCGGAATTTTGAGGTGCTGCATTTGGAGACTCTCAAAGAAGACATCCTGCAGCTTGAAGAAGCTTTGTGCTCGAGGTGGGAACTGGAGGTCTAAACCTCTAAACCGGGCCATAAACCATCCCAAATGGGGATTTCGAAAGGTGAACCTTGCTAGTTGTAGGTGAAACTAACCTAACTAACCTAACCCCCTAGTTGTATATCTCCATAGAACCCCAACAACTTCACCAAGCTATGTTCACCAACCCAAATGGATGGTGTGACTGATGGGTGGAGCCTGTAGAAACTGCGGCTTTTTATCCCAGGATATCCCCAAGAATATCGGTAGAATTCGGTACATATGATTGGTAAATCTATGTAAATCTAGCATACACGGAGCTTGAAATCTTGATTTCCTGCAGTTTTTTTCCAAGCGACATATATTAAAATTTGTATGAAATGGTAGTGTTATACTGACTGTCTGGAGTGCGCTTGGTGATTTGGGATCAAACATCAAACCATATCAAACCATGTCGCTGACAAAGGCGTTAAGAGTCGATACAGTAGGATTCCCTCAGAGGGTTTCCCTTGATGACATTGCCATGACAAGGGAGGATGGAACACCAAGTGTGTCGTGCCACATCTTCACAGAACAAATATGAACAAATGGGGTCTGAAAATGGTGGATGTATCACCCAAACATACTATTTCTATATGGCTATGGGTCAATACCTATAGATACATTTTTAGTGGGATGAACATCCATAAATCCCAGCTATTTTGGGGTTCACTAGGTACCAGGGTTTTGACCCATAGTCTGAAGGCCCGAGTTCCTCCCAGCTGGTCAGACTGTTCCTACCAATTCTCGGGCGGGGTTTTGCAGCCATGGATGCAACAATTCTGGATCCACCCTTCACAACCAAGGGTACAATGTCTCTGTTATGCGAAGTCATGATTTTTGATCCCAATCAAGGGGTTCATCACCTACGGACTGCATTGAAGGGACGAATGTTTCGACTGGAAGGGGTTTTGCCAGTTGATGCCACAGTTTTGCTGCTTGTAGGAGTGAAAGTCGTTGAGATGAGTTCTGATCGTCCTCTCATGAAGCTGGCACAGGAATCGCAGGTGTTTCCAAAACCGTCTCTGAACCAGCAAAGCATGTTGAATGTTGTGGAGCTCTGCTCGGGCATTGGCTGTTTAGGTTTCGGCCTTGAGCATGCAGGTTTCACTGTGCTTCACCGTTGTGACATCAATGATCGAATGCTTGAGATTGCACGAAATATCCATTCAGCCCCCACAACCGTGGGTGATGTTTGCAATGATAGCCTTCTTCCAGTGATTGGGGCTTTGAATTGTGGGTCCATTGCGGCGGGGGTGGCTTGTCAACCCTACTCCCGCCTAGGGGACCGTAAACATGGAGGTGACCCAAGATCCCTGACTCTTCCAGGAGTCCTTCGTTTGGGCTTCCTTGGACGCTGTGGGATAATAATCCTTGAATGTGTTGATGCTGCAGGATCTTGCGCATGGGTCCAAGGAGTTGTGAAAGCCTTTGAAGCCATTACTGGCTACCAGGTACCATGCTGCCCAGGGCATCTTGCACCTTCACCAGACCTGGGCTGCCAGGAGAAGCCGATGGTGGTGCATACTGACGCATCCGAGTATTGGCCCAGTGGAATGGGAACCGATGCCCAAATGCACTCCAATGCCAATGGTTGCCAGTTTGCTTGACCAGTTTTTGTCATGTTTTGGGAAAGAGCTTGAACAACTTGAGCTCGATTTGTACGAGCTGCGGAGGTTTGAGGAAGCAGGTTTTGAGAAGAACGAAGTGCCATGGATGGGCCAAATGGCTACCAGCCTTCACAGCATTGCCAACCAGCTCATGGCCTGTCCTTGTGGTTGCCGAGCTTTTGCCTTTACGGATCAACGGCTGAGCCAGGGAGGACTCCATAGCCTTTTGATCCGCTTGGAAGGATGTGCCAGGTGTGGACAGAATGTTTATGTACGCCATAGATACATTCACCCAGACGAACTTGCCTTACTGAACGGAATGCTCCCAGGGTTGCCATGGGGTTGTCATATTCGCATGGTGCTGTGTGCCCTAGGACAGCTTGCATCTCCCATTCAATCCACGTGGGTAGGATCTTTGGTATTGCAACATTTGGCCAAACCACGTCTTGTTGATCATGCGGTTGACCCTCAACAGAAATTGTCCGAATGGATGGCAAAACTGTTGCAACACAGAGACCAAGTTTTTGGTATCCCTACGAAGCCCAATTCCAAAGCCTTCCAAATCATGGTCAATAACCAGAGCTTTGTACAGCCCAACATGTCCCAATCGACACCCAAGCCCAGTGCCAAGCCAGGTCTTGTCACTGTCGATCTTGCCGAGTCAGGTGCCAAAGGGTCCGGAGTTGCCAAAGCATCCAAATCACGAACCATGACATCCAATCAGATTGAGCCTCACGACATGATCATTCCAGCTGATGCCGATAACAGCATTGCGCCTCCGACAGCGACTGCATCGTTTCTCAGTGGATTCCCATTGCATGGTCCTGAGACACACACACACACCTGACACAACAGATTCACTGGTTGCAAGTGAGCTGCACAATGCAGGTGCCATGCCTCAGGCGTCCTTTTGCCAAGCCAACGCTGGTCAGACTGCCCAACAGTCCAAGACCCCCGGAATGAGGGCCACTCCGGGTCAACATGATGCCCTTGATGTGCTGCAGGAATCCACAATGCAATCTCTGCCCATCAGTGACCATGAGGAGAATGTAAAGGTCTGTGTAGTCAAAGAACCCAAGTCCATTGCCCCGATCATGCTGGTCTAGGTGACACTGGCTCACTGACCCCCGGAATTAGGGCTACTCCGGGTCACAATAATGCCCTTGATCCAATGCAGAAGTACCCATGCTCACAACGTGACCAGGTGCTACCTGCACTGGCGGTGATACCGCAAGATCCTTTGCACCCACTTGCCATGAACACCCACCCAAGGGAATTGCCGAATCATGCAGAACCTTCTCATGCTGGTCATGGTGACAGCAGGTCACTGACCCCCGGAATAGGGGCAACTCCGGGATACCATAATGCCCTTGATCAGCCCACAGATGCAGCCAAGGATTGCCTAGAACCGAACCCTGCACCCCCTGCAGGTTGTCCACCGTCCATGCCCAGGTTTGCAAAGTTCGGTGATGAACTTGCCAGTGCCATGAGCAGAGCCAAAGAAGCTAGCCGCGATGGAACTGGCAATGCCTTTACATGCCCCGGAATAAGGGCCACTCCGGGTGACCAAAATGCCCTTCCAGAATCAACTGATTTTGGTGATTGTGCTGACTCCAATGATGTGCCTTTAGCTCCCAGCGTGCCGAAGAGGGAGGATGCCATGCACAGTATGCACATGCTGAAACCAATGCACATGCTGGTCAAAGCAACGCCCGGTTGCAGACCCCCGGAATTAGGGCAACTCCGGGTCAAGATAATGCCCTAGAGGGAACCATGCAAGACGACCACCTTGTTTCCCACCGGACATCAATGACAGATCATCCCAGCATGCAACCCCGAAGGGAACGCAGCATTAACCAAGACTCCCTTGCGTATCTGGATGCGTATGCCTTTTCTGCTGGTCCGAGTGACTCCAAGTCACTGACCCCCGGAATTGAGGCAACTCCGGGAGAACATAATGCCTCAGGTGCCAACCCAGCGGATGCAATTGACGCTGTTGAATGCCCAGCCAATGGTGGAGTCCTTGGTTTTGCCACCCAACCAACCAAGAAACGCAGATGTGCCGGTCCGGACTGCCTTGATGCCAAGACCATGTGTAAGGAACCCACCGGGCCGAAGATTGACCAAGAAAAGTCTTTTGCCAATCAGAGTCACACTAGTGCACCCACACATGAACAGATGACACACACACATGCCCAGCCGAAGCAGAGGCACCAGTCACTCTCCAGGTCCCGGCAAGTAAACATGCATCCATTGAGACAGACAAGCTGATTTCAGTGTTGGTCATGCAGGACTTTGAGGGTTTCCCAATTACCTGCCAGGTGCCAGAAGGAACCACAGCTGTGCAGCTTGCTCAGGCCGAATCAACCCTGTCAGGTAACGCGGTGACACCAGTCACACGGATGAACACCCATATCCCGTTGAGTATCCCTCTCACTGACCAGCAAGTCATTGTTTTTTGCGAAACGACTGCACCACTGCCGGCATGCCCATTTATCACCACGGAAGGGGCCACACCAGGATTCACCCTGCCATGCACCCGCCTTCAAGCTTTGTGGAAGCAACATGCATGGGTAGCTTTGGATGAAATGGAATTTCTCCTGGAAGCCACAATGGTTGATGACACCGCAATCCCATTCCCACCGGCCAAGTTCCATAATTTGGAAGAGGTACAGGAAAGTAGTACCGCATGGCTTCAGACAGCCTTTGACTCCTGCGTCCATTCAGCAGGCATGCCGTGGTGTTCCGCTGCCATTGTTGCGCAGCACTGGATTCCTGTCATCATATGCCAAGTCGGACATGTTATTCAGTTTACCACAACGCCTGAAGGCACATGTTTTCTTGCCGCAGCCACGACACTTGCACAACAGCAATCCAAAACACCAGAAATCAAGCAAGTTTTGCTGCCACAAGCTTTTCCTGCAGATTGCGGATTTCAGAGCTTGGCATGGCTGGTTGCACAGTTGCAAGGCAGTGCCATCGAGCCGTTGTCACCCGCCAAAGCAGCCCAATGGAGGACCGTTTTTGCACGAGAGCTTTTGACGAACCAGACTGCCCACCAAACCGTGCTGGCGTTGGCAGTAGGAGGTCAACTCGAGAGCCATGAAATGCAACAATTGGTCTCCCTGCTGAGCTCTCATGGAGTTTGGCCAGACCGAGCCAACGAAAGAGCCAACCAGGTTGTATCCAAGCTGTCCCTCCCAACCTTGCGGGGGATTTTGAAGTCACCTCGACCATGGCAGGACCTGAAAGCAGCAGCGAACCATTTGTCTTCGCCTTTGAAGTTGATCATGTCAGATGAACTCAACCAGCAGATTGCCAACAGGGTCCAAACCAGAAAATATGGAAAGAAGTCCCAGGCGAAAGGTAGA